CTCCTACACTCACAACGAAGCCTCCAGCTGACCCTCCTGATGTGCGCAATTGGCAGCAAGCGTACTCGAAGTGTCCTGTCTTTCGCGTTCCCTACGAAGCCGCAGCAAACCAACCAGGAGAAGCTCTGCAAATCGAGTTTTATAATCGCCAATTTACCTTTCGCTACGTAGAGCCTTACCTGCACATCCGCGTTCATGGACTGTGGGGCATCTGCGTCCAACAATTCCCTGAGTTCCTTACTCACGTTCTGCATTCGCATCACGACCATGTCACAGCCGGCCATCGAGGCCAGAAAAAGATCTTTGCGGCTCTCAGCAAGCACTCTTACTGGCCTGGAATGCCTGCCTACACTACCGCTTATGTTGAGTCATGGCCTTCTTCAACAGTTGCTCATCCCTTCTCGTCGATGGGCTCACGTGAGCCTCGATTTCATCACAGATCTTCCCCTTACAACGACAGGGCACGACTCGATCCTTGTCATGGTCGACTCCCTTAGCAAGATGGCTCATTTCGTTCCTGCAAAGAAGTGATTCACAGCAGCAGACACTGTGGAGCTTCTCGCATACCGCCTTATCCGCTATCATGGATTTCCAGCGGTGCTCTTATCGGACCGCGACCCCCGTTTCCAGTCGGATCCTTGGAACCAGCTCTGCCGCCGCTTTAACATCAAACGGTGCATGTCCTCGCCCTACCATCCCCAAAGGGACGGCCAAACTGAACGGGTGAACCGCACACTGAAGCAGATGCTTCGTACCTATATCCAATCTGACGAACACGAGTGGGAGCGTTTGCTTTCGGTCTTGGAACTTGCCTACAACACCACAAGTCATTCATCCACTGAGCTCTCTCCTTTCGAGGTCATGATTGGAGAGAACCCATTGACTGCTGCGGACCTTGATATCGTCGGCGCGTTAGCTCCTACGCTCACTCCTCCGATGACTAAGCTTTTCCGACAGCTCTGCGACAGAGCACAGAGTCACATCCTGAAGGCGAAATGGCAGCAGAAGTCCTATGCAGACACAAAGCGCCGAGCAGTGGAGTATGCGGTGGGCGACAAGGTCTGGCTCAGCAGCAAGCACCTACCGCCTTTCAACAGCTGCCCTAGGTTCGAGCCCCGTTACCGTGGACCCTTCGAAGTCATCGAACGCATAGAAACTGTTGCTTACCGTCTCGCTCTGCCTCCCACGTATGCATGCCATGACGTTTTCCACGTTTCGCAGCTAGTTCCTCACCGCCCCCGCCCTCCCGCTTTGGTTCCCTCGGCAGCCGATGCTGCCTGGCCTCCTATCCACGATGCAGCAGGCAATCCCACAGAAGAATACGAAGTCGATCATATTATGGACTAACGCGGCTCGGGAGATGTAGCCCAGTACCTCGTGAAGTGGCGTGGGTCCCCTGAAGATCAAGCCACATGGGAGCCAGCTCACCACCTTGCAGGCTGCCCGGCTTTGCTTCGCGCTTGGCGCCGCCGCCAACGAAGACGTCTTCAGGCTCGAAACAACATGGGTCCTTCCGAGGCGTAGGCGTACGGGTTCGCCACGTTCCAGCTCCTACAGCACGGGCACCCTTAAATGAGGAGGGGGGAGGGAGCGCTGCGCACCGCGTGCGCTCACGACGTCAGCTTTAGAAGCGCACAGAGATTGCAAAGGCAAAAATAATGTGTTTGGGATAGGTCTTTTCAGTCCGGCAGGGGGGGAAGTTGTAGTGCACAGGCACTACAATGGGGCTGGTTTGTGTCCTAGAGATGATAGCTAGCTAGCGACCTACAAGGGGTCGAGACACTGGAGGAGGACAGAACCCTCCCAGGGGGATAAAGATAAGAAAAACCGTCTACTAGTTCTAATGAATACGTGAAATGTACGGAAATTGTGTGGAGACTGGGGCTGGCGAAAGCGCCGGCACCAATGCGGACCTCCTCCCCATAGGGCCTAGGAGGTGAGCTCCGAGAAGGGGGCGAATCGACGAGACAGATTTAAAACACTTTTAGAATTGTCGTATTTCGATAAAATAAGGCTATAGAGACCGAGAAATGGGGCTATACTAGGCGTAGTATGTAGACTTGTTAGAGGGGCGGGAGGCAGCGTAGTCGCAGCAGTAAGCGCCGCGCACTACAAGGAGGCCTGCACTGGTGCCGGCGCTGTCGCCAGCCCCACTCTCCACGCATTTCCAGGCACCTCTAGCGTATGCATGTTAATTAGCTGACAAATTGCCTTACTTTGATCCTAGTAAGAGGGTCCTGTCCTCCTCCAGTGTTGCGACCCCTAGTAGGTCGTTAGCTAGCTATCTTCTTTAGGTCACCAGCAAGCCCTATTGTAGTGCCTGTGCACTACAGCACTGGTGCCGGCGCTATCGCCAGCCCCACTCTCCAAGCAATTTCAGGCACCTCTAGTGTATGCATGTTAATTCGCAGACAAATTGCCTTACTTTGATCCTAGTAAGAGGGTCCTGTTTTCCTCCAGTGTTGCGACCCCTTGTAGGTCGCTAGCTAGCTATCTTCTTTAGGTCACCAGCGAGCCCTATTGTAGTGCCTGTGCACTGCAGCTATGGTGTATGTCTAAGCACGCCAGCCAGGCTAGGATGCAATGATGGTGTCTGCTGTGTAATGTGGAGAGCGAATGCGGGGTGTGAATCTGTGCTATATCCCCTTTGTCTTAAGTTTTCACACTTATTAAGATGAGCTTGGTAAAGAAAATGGCGACGCGTAAGCCTCCAGAGCGTCCCCGGTGTTAGTGGCTGCGGGAATGGAAGCCTTGTAATCCTCGTGCATTGGCAGCCTGTCCCAAATGGAGCACCTCTCTGAAATGCGCTATGAAGAATCAGACAATCCTGAAATGTGCTACGGAGGTATTGAAGCAAATTTTTTCCTTCAGGAGTAACGATCGAAAAATAAAAGTAAAGTGTGGATACCGGCCAGTGCAGGCGGTTGTCGGAAGCGACGCGCGCAGGACTGCAATCGGCGCAGGATCGGCAAGACACCCGCCGTCATTAGTTACGGAAGTGCTTTTCGAATGAAAGCCCAGGAAAAGAGCACCTCTTGACACCCTCAAAAACAAATTCGACACCAAAGTCTCTTCGCCTTCCTAAATACCTTTTGTGACTGGATGTGTTAGCACCCTGTCTCATTTTTCAACAACGGTACATGCTGCGAGCCCCAATCAGTGCATTTTTTACAATTTGCTGTGCAGCCAAAGACGCATCCAGTAAGACACGGGGAAGGGACATCACGCCTTCACTCTTATCATAGCTGCCATAGCTGCCCTTGAAGCTCAAGTCTTCTGTTTTGTATACGCATGGTGCTGAAGAATGCCAAGGCCATTTTGATGTGCTTGCTGCGCTCATCCTGTTTCTTTTAGGCGCAGCGAACCCCACCAAAAATGTATGAAACTCTTGACATTATATAAAGACAACCAAAGCCCTCCAGACATTGTTTTAGCTGGGATCGTCTAGTATCAGTCGTGGCTGGGGTTGTTTTCTCGAAGAGCTTACCCTATTTCTTCTACGTGCTATCCTTGCCAGATTTAGTGCTGTTTACTATCTCTCTGGAGTGATTCCTAGGAGTCAGCACCATACGAAGCACAAGCCCCACCGAACATGCAACGATGCTGCAAGGCAAAATAGACACGGCTTCCCTGAAGCTCTCTTCTTTCATTTGATTGGTAACTTCTGCCTCCAGGCATCAGCGGCCGGTTGCATTGGCAACTCTTACGCATGTCTGTCAAGTCGAGCATTAGCACCACCAGTGCAACTCCACAGGAAGTCTCGAAGCATAGCGCTGGGTTCAGGATAAAGCTGCAAAACAAATGCCATATTTCTGCTTAGCTCATAGTGCTCGCACTACACACGGCGTGCCTGGGTCCTGCCCACACAGGAGCAGCCACTGGACACACAAACCCAGACAGTACAAATTCAGAGGCAGACAGCAAGAAACCCTTACTGCGTGCCGTCTTAGTCAGGCTGTAGCTCGCAGGGCCACCCCGTACGTTGCCACGCGCCATGTGGGACGGCGGGAACACCCTGGGGCAACGCTGTAGGCCCTTTCCGTCCAGAGCGTGAAACTGAGTTCGTTTAATGAAAATTTGTGAAAGATGGTACAAAGTATGCTGTATGCTACTCTCAGTTTTGCGTTGCGGTGTCTGCGTTGCTGTAACTAGCAAAACCGCAGCAGCAGTAGCAGCAGCATTAGTAATAGCAGCAGGAGAATGACGGTGTTAGACAGCCCCACGCCTCTTTAGTAACCTGACATTGAGGAAAACTCCTGCAGCCTACAACCAAGCATGAAGAAATCATTAAATACGCCGTAGCTGCTGCTGCAGGGGCAGCAGTACCAACAGCGGCGGGGAGGTACCCAGTGCAGCAGCAGTAGCAGCAGCTGCTGCGGCTTGCTAAGGCAGCAGCAGAGGTTCCCTGACGGCATCGATGTGCAGTTTATGTGTACAGCACAAACGCAGATTTTTCTGCATCTTTATGTCTCTGTCTCTTTCTTGCTGCAGCAGGAGCCCTTGATACAACCCTGCTGCTGCTGCTGCTGCTGTGCTACCACAGGCACGAGAGGCCCTGAGCTTGCTGCCGCCTCTGTGTAGACCGGTACCCTTCGGGGGATCCGAAGGTGTTGTTAAAGGTACTCAGTGTTGCTGCTAAGGCAGCTGTGTTGGAAACTCTGTTGTAGGTGTTCGCTCCCACGGCAGCAGCAGCAGCGGCAGCAGCAGCGGTTGCTGCAGCAGCAGCGCCAGCGGGCGATCTTCGGCCCTTTTTCACATCATCCTGACGTAAAAACATCTGCTGAAAGGCACGAGCTGTTTTGTTTTGTCTTTGCTTGCTCGTTTATATCGGGGTTTCTCCAGGCCCCGTGGAATCCCTCGGGCCTCCCGCCAGGGGCCCTTTTGTCCCCCTCCGCTTTCCTTGGTGCTGACCTTCTTTGCTCCAAAACATAGTGTGCGTACACTGATCAAGCACGAGCGGCTGCTGCAGCAGCAGGGAAAGCAACAGGAGGCCTCCATTCATGTCAACCTCCAAGTGTCTCCCAGCAACACCCCAGGCTCCCCCAGGGGGCCCTGGGGACCACGAGGCCCCCGATCCCCTTTCAGATTCTGTTCCAGGCAGGGGGACCGCTTCCCGAGAGGGCCAAGAGCTTTCCTCAGCAGCACTCGCACTGGAGAGTGCAGCGGCAACGGTGGCGGCGGAGGGAGGGGACACATCTCCTATAACAGAAGGAGACTCAAGCCTACGCCGCAACAGATGGGCAGACGAAAGTGATGATTTGGACTCACCCGCCTTCGACCCGATGGCGCCAGGTGCCGCCCCTCCGCCGCTCAGTCTTGGGGCCCCCGAGGCACCACCGCCTCCTGTCGTTAGTGAGCTTGAGTGGCCAGCTTAGGCACTCTTATAGAGCTGCCTGATGCAGCCTTACGACTTGATTTAATGTGTTGCTGTCACATGCGTGTCCATTTAGCCATCTGTGCTCGAGGGGTGCCTGCTGGCCCACGTCGGCAGAGCCATTCTTCGCCGCCGCCACGAGTGTGCTCGTCAGTTTCGCTTGAGTGGAAGTCTGTGTCTTGGTGGCTTCCTGTTCTCGGAGCTGTCAGAGTGTACCAGTTTATCTGTTTTGAAGTCCCTTGTGGTTGGGCCTCTCCGTCCGTGGCCTTCTCTTTGCATGTGTCGCTCTCCTTCCGCGTGTCTTTGTTTCTTTCCGTCCGTACGCTGCGCTGAATCCCCGGAGGCTTTTCATTTAGATTTGCCTCCCTCAAGGCTTTTTCAGTTCGTGGCACGCTCGAGCCTGCGCTTGTGCCTTGGCTTGCTTGCGTCTGTGTGGCCCTCTCCTCCGCAGTGGAGGACAAGGGCGTCCGCGAGCTGCTTGTCACCGACTTGGACCACAGAATGACGGAGAGAGATATTTCCAACCTGTTCACGGGGGTCAGGCGAGTCCATATCAAGAGAGGTGACAATGGCCGCAGCAGGAGCAGCACAATCTCCGGTGGGTTCTGCGTGTCCGAGTTTGTTTCCCTTGCTCCAGCGTCGAGCTGCGCCGTTATTGTATCTTCTGCCCATAGCTTCCTGCTTGCTCCAGCGTTCATGCCCTGTTTTCTTTCTGTTTCGTCTTTGTCCCCGCGTAGTCTCATATTCGTTGTGCAATTTGTCCATTGCCTTCTGTTCGGTGTGGACGCGTCTTTTCTCCGATCCCTCTGTGCTTGCCTTTGGCCGTGTCTCCTCGTGTTTCGCAACAAGTTGTGTAGTTTGCTGGCACGTCTAATTCTTCTCGCTATTTGCGTGCCAGTGCCGCCTTCGTTAAAAAGTAGATTTTCCCATGGTCGCCATGAGGTTTGTAATGTGCTAGCGGCTGGAGTGGCAGGCATGCAGCGGACCCAAACATTCCCTTGCGCATGACGTCCTGCTGCGTGCTGCGTTGGGGTGTACGTACAGCTGAAGTCTCTTTCGTGTCTCACGAGGCGGTCTGTGCGGCCTTAGCAATGAACTGCCGGCCTATTCCTCGGAGGGGTACCTCTCAAGGGGGGGCCCGCGGAGACCGTGGCAGGGGCCCTTTAATCCTGAAAATACAGCTGCCACCTCCAGACAGGCTTGATGCGTGCTTTTCCAAGTTCCGGTCTGGAGGCCTTGTGGGCGCGCCATCTGCTGCAGCCTCAGGAGGGTCGCCGGCTGCTGCTGCTGCATCTTCCGAGGGACCTCGACGGGGTGGCTCAATCCTCTCAGGCGGAGCTGGGGGCTCACCTCTCAGCCGCGGCGGATCGGGAGGTCTTCAGGGGACGGCCCGGTCAGGTAATCTCGATAACAAATGGCGAAAGAAGGGGAGAAGCCCGGACCCTCCACCTCCAGCTGCACCTACACAGGGCAGCAGCAAGGAGCAGCAACAAGATGCCACGAGCAGCAGCAGCAGCAGCAACAGCAACGGGACAACTCATGTGGTGCCGTTGGTAGACCCTAAGGAGCTGTTGAAGGAACAATTGAAGCCGCAGGGGTGAGAAGAAACGCTTTGGGGATTACCCGGAGGACCGTAGCAACAATTGCAAAGGCTTCAGGCATCACTGCTTCCTAGGATCGATAGTATAGAGTCTGGGGTTTTGTTAACAGGTTGTTCGGTGAATCATGAAGTTCACGTTACGGGCTTTGTCAGTGGAGAGTTTAGGCTCTCTTTGGGTGTAAGTGTTCGGGTTCTGGGCTTGTGACCGTATAAGGGTACTGGGGCTGAGGCTTAAAATGTGAAGTTGACGGTTTGGGGTTTGTGGCTGAAGGTTGAAGCTGAACCCCGCTATCTTCGGCGAGGCGAAGCCTCGCGACGAGACGGCAGTGCTCCAAAGACTGAGAGAGGCCCGTGAGGGACCTTCCAAACAAGTGCCACCAACGTGTAGCTCCCCAGACACGTCGGGATTGCAGATGCAGAGTATGCCTGTGCCTCCGCCTCCGCCGCCTCCACCGCCGGCACCTCAGCAGCAGCAGCAGCAACAGCAGACGCGGTGGCGCAGCAATATGCAGCTGCAGCAGCAACAGCGACAGTGCTCTCCTGAGAGACTGAGGCGTCGACAGGACCCGCTCTGTGGGGCAAAGCCACGAGATGAGCCTCCACTCATCTCAGCTCAAGAGGTATAGACAGAAACAGTGAACCGAGCAAGGTCATGAGTTGACATCGTGCGACAGCAGCAGCAGCGGCCATTGTAGCAGGAAGCGCCGTCGCATATCCCTTTGAAACTGCGGTTACTGCATTATCTGCCGCGCCTGTCGCTGTTGTTTTCTGCTGTCGCTGCCACTTTGCTTACGGTCGATCCACCTTTATCCTGTGTCTGGTTCTTTCGTCCCTGCAGCAACAGCAACAACAGCAGCGGCAGCCCTTTGCCCCCAAGCATCATGCTAGCACACCTGGAGCGGAAACTGTGCCTCTGAAAGCAACAGCGGCAGCAGCGGGGACTCCGCCCTCACAGACATTGTCAACTGAAGCCGCGTCAGCGACCTCCCCTGTACCAGCCGAACGAAAAACTGGGGCGGGTCCGTGGGGTCACCGCCTTGCCCCCTCTCCTTCCCAGCAGGAGGAAGTTTCTCCTGTGCGTCGTGGGTGGCGCGGAGGCCAAGAGACTGCCAGTAGTAGCAGCAGCAACAGCAGTAGCAGTAGCAGCAGCATTACTCATGCAGATGCAGGTGATGCAAAGAGCAGCAGCCACAGCAGGGGGTCTTTGGGAGGGTCCCAACAACAGCGAAACAAAGGGTCTTTGGCGGTTAGGGAAGTTTGCGCTGTCTCGGGACCCTCCGAGGTAGCCGGAGAGCTTGGAGAACAGCAACAACAGCAACAGGCACAGCAGAGGAGCATCATTTGTGTTGCACCGACAGCGCCACCGAGGACAGGCCCGCTTGCCTCGCAGTTGTTTTTAGACAAGGTACCGAAGCAACAGGAACAGGAAGAACGGCAGCAGCAGCAGGGGAAGAAGCCGAAAGGACGGCAGGTGAGAATGGAGCAAAGGAGGCAAGGCTCCTGTCGCGCTGCATATGCATCATTTCCACGTGATCGAAGTGCTAGTGCTTGTTGGGAATTGGAGTCCGTACAAAAGCAGCAAGCACCTCTGTTGCCGTTATTTCAGGCTTGGCAGACCAAGGTTGAGGGTCTTCCGGATGTGTCTAGCACTCAGCAGTCGCAGCAGCCCACGGAGGAGGGTAACTCGCAGCAGACGGCCCAAGATGGGCCACCTAACCCACCCCGACAGGTCCAACAGAACCACCAGCAACAAGAGCAGCAACAGCAACAGCAGGGAACGGGTCACCGAGGCAGCGGAGGCAGGGGCGACTGGAGGGGAGGTAGAGGGGATAAGAGGGGTGCGGGCCCCGCCGGGGGCGCATCTGCTGGCGCTGGCAGTGGTGCCCCTCGCTGGAGCTCAGGGGCTTCTGGGGGCCCTGTTTTCCAGAGGGGACAGCAGAAGGATGATACTCGACCATCCGTTGCGGCTGCAACTGCAACAGCAGCTGCAGCAGTGACGAGCAGCAACAGTGCCAGCCTAAACACCCGTAGTGTGAGCAGAGCAAATACAGCAAGTTGCAGGAGCAGACCGTGTCAGCAACAACAATGGTAGCCTAAACATGCGTAGTGTGAACGGAGCAAAAACACGAAGGTGCAGGAGCAGCCCGTGTGACTGCGGCTGCAGTTGGGCCAGTGGGTGCTTGTACCCTCAGGAGTCATGCACTCCAGGCTTTCAGTGTCGCTGCTGCTATTCAGGCTGAAACGAGCGGCTGCACGGACGGCCTGATTTCATCCCCCACAGTAACTGGTGCATCTCACTTGTTGCACTCCCGGGTGCTGCTTTTGTTGTTATTCGTATTGTTGCGACAAGTGCTGCTGCCGGTGCCGTCTTGTCAGTGGCGCATTCAAGGCTACTTCGTGATTGCATTTCTTCATGCTGCGGTGCGTGCTGCTGCTGGTGCTGCTGTGGGTTGCAGCGGGAGTAGCCCCTTTACGTGACAGAGCTCCTCGCCGACAGCGAGGCCCTGGGCGTAGCAAAAAGGAAGACGAGCAGGAGCGCTCGGGCCACAGAAAGTGGAGATCTCAGGGTGAGTCTAAGGGGGTGGAGTATTCCCTTCTCAGAAGGCGAGCTGCAGCTGCTACAGCGGTTGTTAATTTCCGCTTGAAGTCACTGACATCTTTGATAGAGCATGCATCCTCTTGATGAGGATGCAGCTAGAGGTGCCTGTTGCTGTTGATTGTGCTGCAGGCGGTTCGCCAGGAGAAGCAGACCAGCAAGGGAGAGGTGACGGCAAAAGCAGTCCGTTTGCTTGCTTAACTTTGGTGCTGTTGCAGCATCTGTCAATTCTTTCTTATCAGTTGCAAGATATGGGGTGGAAGTCGTGGCCTCTGCTGGCGTGGCGGTGCTGTTGTGGTGTTCAGCAGGAACGGGACGCGGAGGAGGCCAAGGCGGAGGGGGGGGCCGACGGTCTGTGGCAGGCGGGACGCGGGAAGAACAGCAAGGAGCTCCCAGCTTGCCAGCGGGTGGAGAGACGTCAGGCGCAGCAGCTGCTGTTTCAAGAGAACCTGCAGCCTCACAGCAGCAGCAGCGGCATCAGCAAGCGGGGAAACAACAGCAGAGTGCTTATAGGGAGGGGTGAGGTCCTTTCCTCGTGGTTTTGGGTTGGCATTGCTACGTGGTGTTACAGCGCTGGGCGTTTTGGCTTCGGATGTCTGAAATCCCTGTGCATGCTTCGTCTCATGTTCGTGTCGGGTTCCTTTTCGTGCATTGTTGGTTTCGTTTACATCTTTTGCCGGAGTCCAGCTCATCTTTTGTCTCGACGCACGGTCGCAGTTGCATCGGCCGTGTCGCTTTCTCCTTAGGTGGGGATTTTCTATTAATTGGCGTATGCCTTTCAGCTCCTGAAATATCATGTGTTGTTGGGAGGCTGTTCACGTAACGATCGCTTTGGTTGGCCCTGCGAGCTCCGCTTATATCTTACTTCTGTCTCTCGTTCTGCAGACCAGCGCGGCCCGCAGCTCCACCTGCTGTACATACAGGTAATCGCTTTTCTGCCTTTGAGGACGTCTCAGGGGACTCTGACTGACAAGGAAACACTTGAAGAGACAATTGGGTTGGTGACAGGGGCCGCTGCCATTGAACAGGGGCCCCGTGCAGGGCTTTTGTTTCAGATTTCCCTTCTCTGGAGACATACGGCAGCAGCGGCCTGCTATCTGTGCCTAGGAAAACAAATGTGCCTTTTTACACAGCGATTCGAACCAACAGCAGCATGAGCAGCTGCTGCCCCAATGAGGAGGGAGAGGCAGACAGGAGACAGACGGGGGATCCAGTGTCTCTAGACCCCTCGTGCTGCGTGCCGAAGGCCCCTCTGTGTGGGGCTAGCCCCACATATCAAAATCTTTACAAGTAGCAGCAGCAAGAGCCGCTGCCGCAGCAACTGCAGCAGTAAACCTAGTGGGAGTGAGAAGCTCCCATTTGTGGTCAAGCGTGTTCATGGGGCTCGCACATGAGCCAGTCGTGCCGCCAGAGTCACACACTGGGGAATGTTTCTTTTGGCGCAGGGCCCACAACGCAAAACTTTAATTTTATTGAAGTTACAGTTCGCTCCTTTATTCTTCTAGTGTCTGTTCACCAGGTGCCGGACCACACGTTGCACCCGAGGTTGCTTTTAAGCCACGAGTTCTGTACGCCCTTTGGCTGCGGCCTTTGCTAGATTCCGCGACTTCCGTTTTGGCTCTGGCACGGCTCCCACCCCCCAGCTTAGCTTCTGGGGGACGCAGTTGGTGGATAAGGCGTTCAAATTAGCTCTGGAATGGAGGGGAAGGGAGACCCGCTGTTCGTTGCGCGTCTCCTGCTGGTTCCCCTTAGGCTTTCAGGTTAGCTCTTATTGCCTGTAGGCATCCTTTGTTTCTTGACTCAGCATTAGAACTCCACAGGGTCTTTGCCGTCTTAGAGGCTTCGTGATTGCACTGCGAACATTCGGAACAAATGAAAGGCCGGACTAGGCCATACGGGGGAGGCCACGGGGAGCATCTGCTGTATTGAAGCGCGCAAACTCGCACTCAAGGATCCCCCATTGACTTACAGTTGTTCTGCATAGTGTCTAGGACCTTCTGGGTCCTTGCAGGTATGTTGAATGTGGAGTGGAAGACACACCCGCTTAGTTCCTGCGTCTATTTGCTCTTTTGTATTCTGCAGGGCTTTGCCTCAAGGAGGGAGGGAGGCCCCAGATGCCTTCACTGCTGCTAATTGCTGCCTGCTGCTGAAGCTGCAGCTGCTGCAGCCTCCCCGCGTACGCGGCACCCCTTCCAGTATACAGGGAGCTCAAGCCTCGTCTGAGCATGGCATCGCTGGCATCGTGCAGCAGAGGAGGCTGAGCCTCCTCTAAGGTCTTAAGCGACACTCTCTGCCCTGACTCCTTTCCGCCCAGTGATGACCCCTTCCAGAGGGCTGGCAAAGGCACCTCAGGGGACCCCACGATTTGCTGCAGCGCCTCAGAGGCTGCAGAAAGGGCCATCAGAGGGTCCTGTTGAGCCTTAAGGCCATCCAACCCCACCTCATGTCGCTCCCACTTTTTGGGGTGGCCCTCTGCAGGTAGCGCGTTGTAGGACAGGCGCTCTGATTTGAAACTGTTTCCTCTGTGCTTGCCTGAGGGGGCGTTTCCTGCTTCATTGTGCGTTGCCACTAGCAGCGAAAGTTGTTGGATGTAGTCGCCGAATGCCTGGGGCCCGTCTGTCTGCTCCGAAGTGACGCTGGGCACTAAGACCCTAGCTAAGAGTCGCCCATACCTGTCGTTCCGCAGAGGTTGCAGCAGCACAACACGTCCTAGTACCATAGCGGCTAAGGCTGCAGAGGCTGCTACCCCTAAGGGCTGCCCGCCAACGTCTAGATGAGCAGAACCATATGCGACGGCTCTCTTCTCGCCTGCTGCCGCTGCTGGCTTTGGCTTGCCCTTCCAGGTCTCAGGCGCGTCTATTGCGTAGAGGCGAATCCTCAGAGTGCAGACAGGGAGCGGAGAGCAACGCGAAGGCCAAGGAGATAGCACTAGCTGCGGAGGCTTCTCCTGCTCTACGTACTTCGACGTAGAGGTGCCCAGTGCATTCGACAGCGGCTCAAGGGCCTGCTCCTGCTGCGACTCCAAATGCACGTACACGTCAAAGTCCGATTCCACGGGAACGCAGCGCAGTGTGTCCCCGTCCACCACTATGACTACGAGACAAGCAAAGGGAACCCGCGGATGTTCCCCTAGTACCCACACCACGGGCTTGGGTGAAAGAAGGCTGCTAATAATAATGGCGGGAAATTTACTACGAGAGGGATCCTTCAGAATGTCTTGCAAATTGCTGCTGCCCCCAGAGATCCACTTGTCTTCGTGGCTCTTCCCGGTATGTACGGCGCCGGAACCGACTGATCGGGCGCCGCCACTGGCCTGTGGTATTTTCTGGCTACTAGAGCGGAAGAAGCTGCTAAGGTAATAACCAGCAACACTGAGAATGCAAAGCAGCAACAGCAGGCGCCATACAATAACGGGCATTCTACGCCCCACGTACTGGCGAAGAATGGGGGAGCCTGCGGTCGCCATGTGAGTGTTTGCCGTTGCCTGTTGTGAGTGTTTGCCGTTGCCTGTTGGGGAAATGTTGAGTGTAACAATAGCAAGATGAATAAGATTCAAATTAATCCGTAGATAAGGAGGGAAGTTAATGCATCTGGCAGCTTAGACAAACGGAACCTTCCAGGCAGCCGCCAACATGCAATCGTGCAGTCGGCACTGTCTGGCTCCTCTTTGGTTCTCCTAAATTTATTGGAGTGTCAGTAGTCAGGACCCCAAAGTAAATTTCAGGACCCATGCAGACGGATCTTATGGCGGGCACAGTCAGTAGCAATGTAAGAGTACGTGAAGTTCATGAGGGTGGGCGTCGAGAGCCAGCCTGCAGAGCCCGGTAAAGTTGTTTTATTTGTTTGAGGCTTCCGAGACCGAGAACAAATTTATGCCTGTCTTTTCAAATTTTTCCCACTTCGAGCGAGAGAATGTGTACACAAGAGCTCATTTACAATCGTCTTGGAAAACAATATATGAACGACGACGGACGTAAGACAGGAAGCCCCGACTCTTCTGACGCCCTTGCTCGATCCTCTTTGTTGCATTCTTTTTCTCAGTAGCCGCGGGCACTTATGTCGAAATACGCCAGCACATGCCTTAAATGAACGATTTCAGGTTATATCACGGACAAAAGAGGCAGTGGGGCAATCTCTGCATTGAAGCTCTCCCTGCGTATTTTGCAAAACCCGTTATGCGTAAACAACTTTGTTTAGATTAAGAACTTTAGGATTTGTTGGTCTTTTTTTCAGTTTCCCTGTTTCAGACGCTATGGTCTGCATAGTAATGTGGGTGTTTTCGTATTTTCGCGTGCTCAATGCAAGTCTGGCTAAACCCTAATGCACGGAGTTACCCTATTTTGCCGAACTACTCAAAGATAATAATGAAGAGGCACATATGATACAATCTTAAATTAGCATGCACTGGTATTGGCATGAGCCTGCTACCTCCGCAGTGGTTTTCTAAGAAAAACCAACCGCTTTGGGAAGATGGTACAGTAAACTGTATGCTCTCCCTGTCTAGATGCGTTTCATATCCGTATGTGAAGCTCATCCAGAAACAGGAAAATGACGAGTGCCTCTTTGCCGTCCTGCGCGAGCGAGCAGCTCCCATGAGCTGCCACGGGCTACAACACAATGGCCTTGATACTTCCCTATACGTCAAGCAAAGCATATCCCCTATACTCAGACGTACCTCTTCGGATATGCGGTAGACACAATGATAAGTAGGCCCATTTCATTGCTACCTAACCTTTTTTTCGAAAAGGTAGATTTGGGCGTCGCGAATGTAATTTGCTGAAAGTAGCTCTCTCCAATGGCAGCCACTAAGACTGCTCATATGGCTATTGTTCTCGGTCGCTGGTGATTGCATGGTACTCATGTGTGCTGTAAACGTCTTGAGGTGGTAGGAGGGGCGCTTATGTTTAAGGGAGTGCAGTGGCAACGGCAGCAATCAGTCGAGCTACGCTAAGATGGCTATTGGTGCATCGTGCGTTCTAGAGGAAAAAGTGCACTGCGAACGTCCTCGTCCTTTCCGAGTTCTCCGGCTCCGCGCAGGTGCGGCTGGCTGGCTAACTAGCTAGCTGGCTTGAAGCGGAACTGAATACACAACCGAAATCAGGAAAGAAGTCTCTTGGCAGGCTCCAGCTGCATTGCTTAAAGAGCCTGCTCAGGAGGCGTCTCCACAAATGGCGGCAATCAGGGTGAAGCCAAAAGTACTGGTAGAATCATTTAAAATTCTTCTGTGGTATTCTTGGTGTCATTTACAGCAATAGCAACAGCTTTATTTAAGAAGAAAGTGCAAACCGTGCGAAATATACACGAATAAGAACCACAGCTACCCTCCCCTAACGGGTGCTAAAAATCTTTCGATGTGCTGGTGAATGTAGTTCTGAAAGACACAACATTCAAGTTTTTGTGCTAGCAAAAAAAAACTGAACAGCAAGCGGAGAGTGAGAAACACAAAAAACAAACGCTGCATTACGTACCAAAGTTGATGGTGGACTCGCAAGCCAAAGTCACACCGGAAACGAAGAATATAAATAAACAACGCTACAAAGGTGACGTAAACGGGAGACTTATTCTGAAATAAGGCAAACGCCAGACCTGGTACCAAAAAACCAGCTAAACTAACACTTTCCCCACAAACGCGCGGCGACTCGCGCCAGCAGCCTCTCAACAAGTGGCACACGCAACGGACAAGCAGAAGCGCAGCTGTTGCAGGCGATTTCCGGCGCAATTGTGCCACGAAGCAACAGGGAAACTTTCACCGCAAGCAGCAAAGACGAAACCGCCGCAAACCAACAGCTATTGCAGCGATCCTTCTTCTGTATCGACTCAAGAATAACCCCACTATCTGCAACTATTTACATTCGTTTTCCTCTATCTTTCATAGGCGTTTGCTTACATAAGTCAACGCAGAAATGATGACTCCTAATTTTTATGTGCTTACAGTACTTACGTATACATGGAGCCCGAAGTCCCCTATGCGGGCCTATGGCGCAATGGTAGCGCGTCTGACTCCAGATCAGAAGGCTGGGCGTTCGAGTCGCTCTGGGCTCACTTTCTGCTTTCATGGACTTCAGCACAAAAACTTTAATGCAGAAATGGTGAAAGGTGTGCGTAGTGTCCGTATATACATTCGTAGCCAGCGTCGACGCCCGCGGGCCTACGGCGCAACGGTAGCGCGTCTGGTTCCAGATCAGAAGGCTGGGCGTTCGAGTCGCTCTGGGCTCAACTCTTTCTTTGTCATTTTTGGTAGCGTGCCTCGGAACCGCGAGTAGGCGACAGCGCCCCACAATATGGAACTTGCTGAGAACAGTGTTGCCGCGTGACGAGCGGTGCGTACTAGTGACGCTTGAACAGCTATACAAAGTGCCTGAGGGCAGGGGCGGTGAGGCGACGAAAGGGTTCCGTAGCAGCTGCAGATACGCCAGCGCCAACGGTCGCTCCCCCTTCCCCGCATTCTGATGCCGCTGGACAAGGATATCTTTGTCCTTTCTGCTCTCAACAGCCTGTAGTGCAAAACTGGACTCTACCCTGCTACCGGCGTAGCTCTATCCCCCTTGCACACACCCATGAACAGCATTCGGGTTCTGCTGAAACTTCTCTATCTCGTGACCCCGGCAGCTGCCTGTTAGCCGTCCCCTCTCGTGGGTTTGTGTTTCTATCCCCTCATTTCTATTGTAGGTGTCATTCTTCGTACCAATGAGCACGTGCGAAGCCGCTGATGGTCGCTCGCCGCCAGTAAAACGTTGCAGCGACAATGTGTGTATCGCAGCAACAGCAGCAGCAGTAGAAATCGAAGCACCCAAAAAGGCTGCCTGAAGAGGTTGATTTGCTGCATTGTTTGAACTGAAGCTGCAGCCCTCGGGAGAACTCATAAAACCTTAACAAATCAGGGGAATCCAGGCACCTTAGGATTTGAAAGTTGACGCTACATGACTGCACGAAAACCTCATCCAATGGTGGCGGCTCTTACTAGCCAACTAGAGGGCAAAGATATGTTCTAGTGTCAACGGGGAACCACAGGATCCCCACTGGCCCCCTAAAGGACCTAAAGGATCCCTAGGGGCCCCTCTGGCTGCCGCCATTGGGGTTTCGCAGGAACGCTTTGAAAGGCCACGTGGCCAGACTCCATATTTGACTCAAGAACTCTTCGTGGAAAGACCCCTTGAACTGATAACTGCGAGAAGGGCCTCTTGCTGCTGCTGCGTAGGAGGGGGGACGACCAGCGTCGGGTATTGGGACCCCGGGGGCCCCCCCAAAGGTGCCTCTGCCAAGCGTCTCTCTGCCCATTCAGTCCAAGAGCCGTCGTAGACAGAAAGCAGCGACACCGGGTAGCCCACCTGCAGCAAAGCGTTAATCGTACGCCCCAGCAGCAGTCGCAGCAGCACAGGAAGCAGAGGCTGAGAGGCACGAGCCAACAAGGCGATGCGTTTCCCCAGACCCTTTCTCTCGTACGCCCGCTAAGCAGCAGCAGCAGCAGCAGCAAGAGCCGTAGCAGCAGCAGCATCACAGCCGCAACACTCGCACGCAGCCGCGTACCTCAAGAAGCGCGCAGAAAAGGATGCATGACGATACGCCGCTTCCGCAAGTGCATACAATTCGTTTTGCCTCCGAAAAGTCCAAATGCGGATACTCTGGACGCTTGTGTTGCGGCACCTCCTGTTGGTCTTGCTGTTCTTGCTGCAGTTGGTGTTGCAGCTGCCGCTGCTGCTGGAAGGCCTCCAGCTGCTTGCTAACACCCTTGACGTTCGCGCCCGTAAGAAGCGGCCCCAAAGGAAAAAGCAACGATGTTCCCGTCTTCAGGGTGGCGTACCCAAAGGGAGGGGCCCTCACGGAAGTCCCAAAAGGACACAGGTAAGTCATGGGGCCGCTGCTGATGCAGCTGCTACTGGGGAAAAACGCGTGGGGCTGCAAAAGCGTTGTAAATGGGAGGTTGATGGAGGTGGGAATGTGCCCCCCAAAGACTCCCTCGCGGGGCTCCCCACATCTCGCCGAAAACCTATCGTGGGTGCGCACATCAACCAACAAGAACGAATCCTTGCCGATGCTGCTGCTACTGTCGCGCTTTCCACTGGTAGAAGCCTCCTTCGTAGTACCTGCCGCCTCGTCCAGAAGCTTCAAGAGGTCCACGTAGGACACAACCAGCGAGTTTTGATCTTCTCCACTGCCCGCCTCTTCCCACTGACTTGCAGCAGCAGCAGCAGCAGTGTCTTCTCCGGCAGCGGAATCAGCAACTGCTGCAGTCTCAGGAAGTGGAAGGAGACACTCCCTGCTAAAAGGCCGCGTGTCCACGGGAAGTGAGCGGGCGACCCACGCCTTTATGCCGCCGTCCAGCACCCGCGATGTCAGGCCCCCCCAGCGAAGCATCCAATACACCCGTGACGCTGAGAAAAAGCCCACCGAGTCGTATAGGACGATCTTCGGAAGCTGTTGCTGCTGAACGGGTACCTGGCGTTCCTCCGCCTGCTGCTCCCGTTTCTCCTGTTGATCGTGGAGCTGCTGCAACTGCTGCACCGTTTGTTGCTGTTGTTTCTGCTGCTGATGCAAGGCTATCACATAGGCTCGCAGCTGAGCCCTCGAAGGCAGCATGTGAGGGTATGGGTTACTCCTGTCGCTGCAGGTGTCGATGCAGAAAAACTGCGCGCCCGGAATGCGGGGACCCCTCAAGTACTCTTCCTCGGCACAACGATTCCCGAACACGGGCAATTCTGTCATGCTGCAGTCGAGGATAAGCAACTGTTCTTGCCGAGATAATTCCGAAAGAAGCTCCTCCACGGATATCAGGGGGTCTGCCTGCGGCCCCCAGCCGTTGCTTGCAGTTGACATCTCCCGGTAGGGGGGGGATCCCCGAGAAGCCTTGGATGACTCACAAGGAGAGCCAAACGCACCCAGTAACAGACAGTTTCCTGTTGCTGCTGCTGCTGCTGCTGACATCGCAGTTTGGCTGATCACCTCGCACAAGCTTCGAAACCCGCAGGACGGGCGACAGCAGCCGCAAAAGAGAGGACGGCGTAAAAGTTTCCGGCCCACCAAGCCCGCTAAGTCCGCACAGTGTGCTTTCCTTCAATAAATTACAGTACAACTGTTCACGAACTCTGTTCACGCAAAAGCAGCAGCACTGCGACCAGCACCAGAGCAGCAGCTGCTCTCACTGCAACAGGTGTACTCGTAACAGCAGGGTCACTGCTGTTGCCGCTGGAGCCCTGTGGGGATTGGTAACTTGCTGGTTGCGGAAGATCACATCAAAATGATGAGCAAACAGATGTTCTGCTGATCAGTGCAGGGTAAGGATCGATCCTGCTGCAGCAGTCCCCGGTGTTACGGCTGCTGTTTCTTTGAGAGACAGCTGCGGCTCCAACTGCTGCTTTCGCATCTACATTGATAAAGTGCCTCTACAGTGTGTTTATATCCACAAGACATTCGCTCTTCCGCTGGTTTCCCGTGTTGTTTCAGCTTGACCCAGTGTGACCTGGTGGTGATTCTAAGTGAGGAACCAAAGACCGAATCCCAGGTTCTGGCTGTGTGCTGAACCAAATCTTCGCATGGCTGGCCTCAGAGCCCTGTAAAGCTGTGCTGGACGAGAGCCCTTCGACTGTGCCCGCATGCTACCCTGTGCCGAAGACAAGGAGTCGGCGCTCGCCAGATAGGCGCTCTCTGGCGCCTCTAGGCGGCGATTCTCGCTCTAATGGACTTTGATTTCCCAACAATCACAGGGGCTCTTTTACGAGTTACTGTTGCAGAGGTACGGAGGTGTGCGGCTGCCTGGCAACATCAGCAGAGGCAGCAACAAAGGCACAAGGAACAACAGCAGCAGGCCAGGCAGCAGCATATGGAGCAGCCGCGGATAGAGCAGCAGCAGAAGGACAAGCAAGAGCTGCACAACAGGCTGGAAGCGAACTCACAGAAGAAGCATACTGTGCGTAATGCTCTCTCTCCTGGGGTGCCCACTAAGGGGGGTCTTGAGCCTCTTGAGGCCCCCAAGCCTAGTGCGAGCCACGCCCGTTTCGGCGAGGAGCTGGAGGTGTGGGGCCCATGGCGTTGCCGAGGCATATGCATAGAGGGCCTTGTTATCTCTTGCACCCGAGTCATGCTGAGAGGGCCTGCTCAGGACTATACCGCAGCAACAGCAGCAGCTCGAGATGCGTCAGCAGCACATATGGACACGATAGAGCTTGATGATGGAACAGGCGTAATTAGCTGTTTCTGGGTCTGGTACCCTTCAGGAGAACCTCGAAGTTCCCTTCGGGGACGAGGCTTGGGGGCTACTGCTGAGAGAACTGTGGCCTTTGAGCCCCCGCCGCCGGTAGAGCCTGGCACATTCTGCAGGGCAGAGGGACGCGTGATGCTGCGCAGCAGCAGTTCCTGCAGCATGGACGGCAGCAGCACTTGCTGCTGCGCCTGCAACGTTCGAGCATCTCTAAGGCTCTTTGGCCCACTTAAGGAAGATTGCGACCCAAATGCTGAGGCCCTCGCCTTTGCTGCCCTTGCTACGCAGAAGAGAGCCCTGAAGTGGTGGCAGGAGCAGCAGCAAGCGCATCAACAGCAGAAATAGGTGCCCAGATGCCAGCCCCTGCTGCTGCAACAGCAACAGCGGCCGTTCCGTTGCGACAACAGGGACGAACAAAAAGGCATTAGATGCCTCAGCGTATACGAGGGGACCCACTCCCGAACTGCTACAGGGTGTTAGAGGCAGCAAGTGCAGCTGCTGCTGCTGAAACGCGTGTCTGTCAAGGCAGTGCGTGGAGGGAAACCACCCCGCCTCTTTTGTAGATGCTGCAGAAAGACGCTCTTTTCCTGAGGGCCCAAAAAAATGTAAGGAGGGCCTTCAGTAGACACAGAGAGTAGGGCTGGTGGCATGAAAGGAGTGCGCGCACCCCAAAGGCCACATGCTTCCGCAGTCATTGTCCTCCGATATTAAATAGGCCAAAGGCCCTTTTAAGTTGAAAATTTTGAGTTGGAAAGCCCATAACATTACCAAAATTGTCAGCAGCGGCGGCAGCAACAGCAGCAGGTTGGCTGATTGTTGCTGCCGTGGCTGCTGCCACTGTCTTGCAGCATTTGCTGCAGCAAATCAGTGTCACGGCGAAAGGCCCTAATCATCATCTTTAGCTGTCTTTGAGGGCCGAGCAGGGGCAAAGTAGTCGCTAATAATATGCAGAGGCGGCGGCGGGCGCCCGGAGAGCTGCCGGTGTCTTTGGGGGCTCCCTTTGGGGCCCCTTTCACAAGGCAAGACGAACACAACTCTCCAATGAGGGTCATGGGGGGCGCCTGCAGCGCTCAAAGCAGCGCCACACAGCATGAGCAGATGAGCAGCTATGGGGGCTTTCGTATGCGGCAGCAGGAATCACAGCATACATTTCTGGGCCTGAAGAAATGAAGGTGATTGGATGTCGTGTGCTTTTGACTTAGTCGCTGTAGAGGGCACAGGCACTTGTGGTTGCAACGCAAGTACCAAGTGCACCGAGCTTGTTCAACTTCGCTGCTTGGCTTCACATGAAAGGCAAGCATATGGTAGAAGTTTATGAGGACACAATGGCACTTCGATTTCGTAAATCGGCAGTTTCGTCCATGGAAGTCTTACGACACCTTGTTCCACCTTGTTACGCATGCGACAGGACCTGCTGCTGCTGCCGCAGTGGAAGTAGCAGTAGCTTTACCTGCCTCGATGCAAAGCCTGCAATCTTTGTTATCCGAAAACACCCTCTCCAGTGTTTCTATCATTTTATTTGTCACGTGGAAGCGCAGCATGCGCCGCAGCAGCCACGCCTCGCCGGGGGTCAGTTCGCTGCTGCTGTCTGGTGTTCGGACGTTTTGTTGATGCTGTCGCTTCTCCTGCATTTCAATTTCTTGCGAGCAGCTGCGGCGAGGTGAAGACACCTGGCGGTACCACGGCAGTTGTTTCCGCTGCTGCCGCAGCCTATCTTCACGCGCCTGCTGGGGAGCTCGTTGCTGTGTCTTCTGCTGATGCGACCGCGGTGCAGCGCCAGAAGGCGCAGCGCGTGTTTTCTGCTGCTGGTTCTTTGCTTTGCTAGTGGCGAAGGGAGCTGCAGCGGCAGCGGCCATGATGAACGGCAAGGCCTCCTCCGGTCCCATAGAAAGCAGGGGCTCTACAAAGTAAACACAGCAACACACTTTGCATGCGTCAGTTGTAAGAGTGGCAACAGTTGGAGCAACGGCAGGGTCAGCATTGAATAGGCTGCGAGCTGCAGTTTGGTAAAGTAAGTGCCTGACTCGAGGGCTGCATTGACAACAGCAAAAGCAAACGCAGCAGCAGCAGAGCAGTACCCTGAATGGCTTCGAGGAGGGCAAGAGCCGCTTGCAGGAGACGTTTCATGCCTCCCAAGGCCAGCAGGTCGAGAACCCGGAGAGACAAAGAGATTGGGAAGTCTGCTGCGAAGACAGGCAGCAACCACTGCAGCAAGTATGCCTCTCCGCGGACACCCACGAAGGCCTGACATAAATACAGCGAGAAACAGAGACAGCAGTGCATGGGGAAATGACCGAAACAGGGTTCGGGAAAGCGACAGGGACACATAGAGGGCAAAGATCGGCCGATAGCACATAGGAACACCGCAGGGGCTAAAGACACCGGCGGATAAGCAGACAGCAGCAGGTGCGCAGTGACACAGGAAAGCACAGCACGGAATTGGACAAGATGCGATGCAGAAGGACACAAAGTGGGAATAAATATACGGTCAGAAAGGAAGGCACTGACATCCAAATGCACAGGGAACGCTGATGAGGACAAGCAGGGATGAAGCTGAGGGGGTCACATACGAAGTGTTCCCGCAGCTGAGGTAGAAATGCCTCCATGATACGCTCAAAGGCAAATGTAAGACTCTGAAAGGAGCCACACAGCCACACTATTGGGGAAAGGGGTGTCTACAGGCCCCCTGACGAAACTATCAAACGAGCGCAGAATACTGCCATGTGGCTGCATGCAACACACGTAACATAGAACACATAAGCACGCCCGACTTCTCACAAACGTTGCAGCTCAAACGGATAGTCAGAAGCTGCACCAAATCGAGCAGCGGTGGCTGTGGCAGCAGCAGCCTTCTCACCTTGATGGGCATGAGGTCTGTAGCATAGAGGCGCTGCAGACCCCATTTCTGCAGAAGGGAGACGAAACATCGGTAAGCCTCCTGCAACATCCACACAAACCCTACTTTCTATGCTGTATGTCTCATTCTTGGCCTACCAAGGTAATCGGAGATGGTAAAGAAGCACCGGGAAGGAAGATAACAAGGCAGACGCGAAAAGAAAAAGCAAAGTGCAGCGACCAACATGCGGCGCACATAAGCAATGGCAGCTAGCAACAACGCGCCCCGCCAAATAGAACGAGGCAAAACACAGTGCAGCAGCCCCCGTGGCAGCAGCAGCAGCAAGAAAGTGTCAGGGGGGCCTCACAAACTCATCCTGCAGTGCATACAAAAAGAGGCCGCCCAAATAGTTCATACCCTGGCAGTACCCGACGCCGTCTTGGCGAGATGCACAGGCGAGCAAGACTCGGTGCAGGGACTGCTGCCTGAGTCAGGAGCACAATAGCAGCAGCAGAAGCAGCAGAGAAACACCAAAAACTAAGAAAGTTAAGGGAAGGCAGCAGCAAGGCAGCGCATGGTGATGTCAAGGGCGCTCCACAGGCCGGCGCCTCTACATTCCTGACATGGTAGCAGCACCAGCACCATCCCGAACAAGCAGTACGACAGAAATGCCGGCTCTAGCCGTAACGGCCACAGCCGCAGCAGCAGCAGCAACGGTAGCAGTGGATTACATTGCCTTATCCTTGAAGAAAGGAAGCTCAGGGAATGTTCTGTGGCAGTCCCTTGCAATCTCTTCGGAAAGTGCGGCAGGTGCCGCAGCACAAGCTGCCTGCAGCACAGCCACCACCACAGCAGCAGCAAAACGGCGCTGACTGGAATACATGCAACAGCAAGTGCTCACTTAGCTTGCAGTGGCAGCAACCAAGAGGGCGAACAATCGCCTCGCTGTTTAGTGACTAAGCTGCTGCTCCTTCACGGTCAAAGACAGTGCAGGTGCAGCAGCCCCCGTAGCAGCAGCGGCAGCAAAATGACAGGGGCCCTCACAAACTCATCCTGGCCACAGGAGCAGCAGCGGAAAGAGATACATCAAGAATTCCAGCAAAAACAGCTTCCGCAGCAGCAGGATGAAAAGCAGCAGCAGCTAACCAGATAGTCTGCATAGGTCTCATGCTGCATCTCCTCCACAAGCGAACACCTGTAAAAGTAACCCCTGAAGGCTACAGGAAAACCGCGCCGCCCAAAGGCAGCAGAAAGGAGCGGGGGGGACAGAAGAGCTTTTCGCCTGCAACGAACAGCTGAAACATAGCTCCCACAATAAGTTGACTGACTCTCTTGCTGCTGCCCCTGTTGCTGCTGCTGCCTCTGCAGCAACCACAGAGGACCCAAGACCAGGAAAGAAAAGAGAAATGACGTGCATGTTACAGAGGCAAGGATTGAAGCGGCCATGCACCTGCTGCTGCTTGTGAATAAAGGCAAATGGAGCAGTGCCATTAGTAAAGCATACCATGTCTTACAGACGCGGCTACAAGCAGCTCTGTCTCCGTCTGTGAGAAGCCGTACGAGTCTCTTTGTTGCCTTCGGAGATACTAAGGCCCACAGTCGCAAAGCCCTGTTGAGGCAGTCGTCTGAGGGGTGCAATGCCCCGATAAAGCTTGCGGTGGTGCTGCTTGGTGGGCCACCACCTGCAGCCGTGACTGCAGCAGCATCTGACAACCCGTGGGCGCTTGCAGTCATTGAAGAGACTCTGCTGCCCACAGCTAGTGATTGACTTCTTACGTTGCCACCGTTACTTGTGTTGCTGTCCTTGCCGTTTCCGCAGTTGCTCCGCCCTCTGCTCCACTATGCAGCGCCCGCTGCTGGTGTTTTTGCTAAAAAGGAGACTCCCCTGTGCGTCTGGCACTCAGGGAAGTCTTCTTCTTGTGGCGGGGTCTCGCTGTTGTCGCTGCAGCACAGCAGCTGCGACAGCAGCTGCACCTGCTGCTAGCCCGTCCGCAGTAAGTACACTTCGCATACTGCTGCCGCCTCCCAGCCTCTTAAGTGGGCCCTACGAGCAGTGCCGCAGTACTTGATGTTACTTCCGACAATGTTACTGCTGCAGATGCTGCGGCTGCTGCAGGGGCCCCAGCAGCTGCTGTCGAGTGTGGTACCAGTTGTTATGTCTGAGCAGCTCAGAGTAGCAGCATGTGCACGAAAAGTCCTACTCAACATATTTACGTCAGTCGGAGTGCAAAGGGAGCAAAGAATATGTGGAAGTCGTAGGGAACTGTGCACGCTGCGAACAGTCCGTGGAGGATCATCAGGGGCAGCAGCGGCAGCGGCTGCAACACCCAGAAAAATCATATCCAGCGATATAACGTTTCCATTTGTGAGTTGTGCGCATGGCTCCTCCCAAACACCTTTTTTCCCGCAAAAACGGGAGGAATCTTCGGAACTCTCCCCTGGGAGCTCTGGAGTTCTCGTGTCTTAAGCGTGGGCAACAGCAGCACCAGCGACGCGAACGCCAGCAGCACCACTGAAAGTCATCAGCGATGAGGCCTGTTCCGAGGACTTTTGGCACTGGCTCGTCATTGGTTTGAAGAGCAGCGGCAGCGGCAGCAGCAGCAACAAGTGCGGGCGCAACCAGGTATTTTGGAAATTTCTCTGCTGCAGCAACCGGCGGCAACGCTGTCCCTTCAACAGCAGCAGAAGAACAGCGCCTTGAACAGCATCATATCGTGACTGTCCGAGGCTTGTCGACACACTGGCTGGTGTCATTGGGTCTCGGCGGCCGGCCCCAAGGCTTTCACCGGACCCCTATACGCGGAACGCTCTGATAACACAGCAGCTGAAGCAGAGTCCTCAGACGCAGCAAAACCAACAGCAAGAGGACTAGCAGAGACGGCAGCTGGAAAAGAAATAGCAACGAGAATAGCAGGAACGCAGGCAGAAGCAAAAGTTGCGGGAGCAGCGCCTGCACGATTGGCATTTCAAATAGTGCTGCAGCAGCAGCAGCACCACCAACAAGAATAACAGATGCAGGAAAGCCATAAGAAGCCGAACTGCCATTGCCTGGACTAGGGGAATTTGTAGGCGCAGCAGCAGCAGTAGCAGTAGTTGTGTCAGGTCGCCCACGTAGGGGGTACCTCAAGGTGCCTTGAAGCTCGCCGTTGAATTGGAGTGCCAAAAAGAAGAGATAAAACGTAGCAAGGACAAGGACACCGTTAACAGCAGCAGCGAGGGCAGCTGTGACAGCAGTGAAAGCAGAACAAAGTTGGCCATGGCCGCGGCCTCCGCTGCCGCTGCCCCGCACAGGTCCCCCATGCGCCCGCACCTGCAAGTCGCAGCAGCAGAAACGGCAGCAGAAGCAGGGTTCAGGGAGGAAGCAAGAAACTATGATAGCAGCGTGGCCACCTTCGAAATCTCATCCTCTCCCGCTACAGCCTACGATGAAACAGTCTGTGACGATGACGATTGCGGCTCCCCAGGGCCACTTTGTGTAGGTTTTGTGTTGCTGCTGCTGCGGTGTGGCATACTGGGTGCCCTGGTGGCTATACACCCTTCCTTATTCTCCTTTTCAGATGCTGGGGGTGCAGCAACGTGGCTTGTGGCTGCTGCTACCGTCACCGCTTACTTCGTAGCTGCAAGCACAGATCCGTAAGCCATGCCGGTGCTGGTTCCGTTGATGGTGTTGCTGTTGCTTTTGTGTAAGCTTGGTGCTGGGCGCTCACACAGGTAGTGCGACGTTGCTGCAGCTGCTGCTATTGCTACTACTGCTACCACTGCCAAATTATTCCTGCTGCTGCTCCTGCCGCCTTGGGCTGCAGCCGCTGGTGCTCTGCTGCTGGCTGCTGTGTCACTGCTGCAGTGGCGTGCGCTGGTGCTCTGCTGCTGGCTGCTGTGTCACTGCTGCAGTGGCGTGTTGCGCTATTGTCCCTCGCTGCTGCTGCCTCCGGAGCAGCGGCAGATGCTAAAACGCCGCCGCAGCAGCAACAGCAGTCGGTTACGGCGCTTTGAACTCGAGGACGACGACAGCTGGGAAAGCAGCAGCAGTAACTGCAGCACAAAAGAAAGCTGCTACTACACAAAGGCGGCGACAGAAGCAGCTGCGGCAGCAGCAGCAGGAGCAGCAGTAGCACGGGGTCGGCAGCAGCGCTGGCAACGAACTACGCCAAAGGGAGTTCGACAGCTTCCCCGTTTCTTCAGGAGGCGCCGAAAGGACTATGAGGCCCCTCGTCAACTCAGCAGCAGCAGCTTCAGCAGCGGCAGCGACGGCCATGATAACTCTTTACGGGTGACCGGCAGACTCACCGCTGCTCCTCGCGGCCGCAACAGCAGCAGCAGTAACCAAAGTATCAGCAGCAGCGGGAGCTTGGACATTTTTTGTGAAGAAGAAACAAATGGAGACTTGCCTGTGCTTCCTCGTACGCGCAGTAGTAGCAGCAGCAGCAGCCACAGCACGCGTGTGCCCGCACCGCCAGTAGCCTGTGGCAGTGCTAAATTTCTGAGCCTCTCGCAGCCAGCGGAGCCACCGACGACAATGCAGGATCAACACGAAGAGCCGCGAGATGAGCAGCTGCAGCAGCAGACACTACCGCAGCAACAGCGCTTTCGGCAAGAGCAACATTTTGGGGCGCCGTTACTTAAAAGCTCGAGCGACGAAGACAGAACAGCGATCACTGGAGTGTCGCTGATGCCGTACTCTCTGGTGCAGCAGCAGCTGCCGCAGCAGCGACAGCGGAAACGACGGGAGAACAGCCCCTTACCTGTCGTTTCTCGAAATGGGGCCTCAGCGATGCCCCCCGACGAAAGTCATACGCAGTGGGAGAAGGAGGACCAGCAGCAGCAGCAAATGCAGGGGCAGCAGCAGCAGAAGGGACTGCGGGGACAGAAGAAGCAACGACTTTCCGCTGCATCTATTTGCGGCGTGCCTGCTGACATTTGGCCACCGGGGGGACCCCATGGGGCGTCGCTTCGTCAGGTGTACGTAAGTTGCAACAATGTGCTTCACTTCGACTCCAGAAGGAGCAGGAAGAGGCAGCAGAGCCGGCGGGGCTACAGGGCAACCCGAAGAAGGCATCCCGCTGAGTGCAGCAGCAGAAGCAGCAGCAGGGGAGGAAGCAGCGGTGATAGCGAAAGTGACAGCAGCAGCAACGGAGAGGAGCCGACTTCTGGTAGACGCAGAAATAGGTTCGGCAGTGGCGCACACCACGTGCCTCAGGAAAGTCAAACAGTAGCGGCAGCCGCTGCTGCAGCCGCTGCCGCAGCGGCGGACACAGCACAGATGGAGGCACAGAAGAAGCTCCGGGAGCAGAGCAGACGCCAGCGCCAGATAGCCGCAGAAGCAGCAGGGGCGACAGCAGCCTACGACCATGCAGCAGCAGCTCCTGATGTTTCCATTCATGTTCAGGGACCACAGAGTGGTCGACAGGATGCCAGTAGACCAACAGAAGCAGCTGCTGCTGCCAGTACATCAGGTGTCCCTGCACCAGACATTGCCATGGCAGCATCCATGGCAGACGACCTTGAAGCCGCTCTTCCGCACAGTTCACAGAAGCACCAGCAGGAATGGGAGGTGGTGCAGCTGAGCCAAGCAAAGCCTTCAGATTCTTCATATGTCCCAACGTCTACAGCATCTACGACAGTGACTGAAGCAACAACAACAGCGGCGACTACTACGGTTGCTGCCGTCCCTTTTTCTGTTAGGAAAAGACAGTTGTGTCAATATGGAGTGAGGCTGCGTTTCTGTGATCGGTGCTGCATGTATCAGGTAGGCAAAAGCAGCAAAACCAAAAGCAGCAGAAGCGGCAGAAGGCGCAAAAGTAGCAGCAGTAGCCGCTGCAAACATTCCTTGTGGGTATATGAATTGTCGCAAGCATCCTGCTGCGTTGCAGCCGTTGAGGACAAAGCACTGCGCGGACTGCGGCGTCTGCATTCGCACCCACGACCATCACTGCCCTTGGATCGGTCTGCTACTGGCATTTAACGTCTTTCACAGGCGAAATTAGAGTTACTGCATTGTGTTTGTAATGCTGCCGCATGTGGTGGCGTGACACACCTCGTGGGCCCCATTATTTCACTGTTGTTGCCTCTGCGGTTGCTGACGCTCTTAAACTCTATTAGTGTGAAGATTGCTTTTTTTGTCTGCTGTTCGTACAGGGAGCTGCGTGGGGGAGAAGAGCCGCCCCCACTTTATGGTATACCTGCTTATGCAGGTGCTCGAGGCAGGTGTATGCACAGTTCAGTGTGTGCGGCTGCTGCTGCTTCCGATGGACGTTAAGACTGACTGGTGCGGTTGAGCAGCTGCTTACGCTGCTGCTTGTAACACTGCTGCTGCTCCAGCCCGAGGCGACAGGTCTATGTAGTTTGCGCCGGAAATCTGCGGCAGTTTCTGGGCTTCATTAAGCTCTGTCAGCCTCTTTCTCTCACGAAGCTGCCTGTCTGTGCTGTCCGCATGTGTGGATTCGCCTTTCATGGTGTACTTTCTGCCTTGCAACAAAGAATATGGAAGTAAAATATGTTGTTTTTTCGAGTCGGAAGCTTTTTATTTGCGCTTGCTTGCATGTGCCTGCAGGGGAGCGGGGCTGTGCTTGCTGGTAATTTTTAGTTTTTTTTTCCTGCTTGGCCTTCTTTTGCTGGTTGGCTGCCTCGCGGGCTACCACTTGCTGCTAATGTGTTTGAATTTGACAACGTGGGAACAGCTGGCGTGGACTCGAATTTCATACTTGAAGGTATCTGCACTACAAGAAAATTACAAACGATGCTAGTCAGAGGCAGACGAGACTGAAAAACGCAGCTGGAGACGTCAGCCACTTTTCATGTGGCCATATCCCTCTGCTGCTTGCGGCCTTCGTGATCCTCTGTAGCCTGTTTGCGTTCTTTGATCCATTCCCTGGGCGATCATGACTGCCTGGCTCTTGTTAGAGTCTCTTAAGTGGTTACTCGGGGTTATGCCTCTCCGTATTCCGGATTTTTCGTTCGTGCCTGCTGTCTTTTTTGTTCATTTTTCGGTGTTTGCCGTTTACTGCGGCTCTGTTGGTTGCTCCTCAGTTTTTCTTTCTTCTGTGTTTTGCCTCTCTAACATTTATAGCTGTCTGGGGTCGTGGGTCCTGTGTTTCTGTCAACTCTCTCACTGGCTTCCGTTTGGAGCCGTGCTTCTGCCTCGTTGCTGAGTGTGCAGGGCTTGGACGAAACAGCCGGGTCGCCCTTCTCGCGCAGCTTCCTCCACAATTTACGCGTGTATTGGATGCCGGCGCTTCCCCTGCGGTGCTGCGGCCGCTGCCGCGGCGAATGCCGTGGGCCGCAGGGGGAGCTCTGGTGGAGGCCCGGTCAGCGTTTGTCTGTCTGGCCCCATTTGCCATTGTTTTCTTTTGTCATCTCCAGTTGCCTGGCTTCTTTTGTAAACTAAAGCGTCATTCCATTTTTTTCTTGGCTTTTGTCTCCGCTTTTTCGCGCATTGTTTCGTTCCCTCGCTAGTTCCTGCCTTTCCTCGTGCCTCGACCACCCATTGTCTTCTGTCGTGCTTTCTCCTTTATGTACTACCGTTCCCTGCCTGTGCTTAACCCGCCGTCTGTTTCGTTCCGGCGCAGCTGGCTTCCACATGTGTGTTTATTGCAGCTTTTCCCGTGTAGGTTTTTACTGTTGCCTCAGTTCCTTGCGTGTTGGCTCTGTATGTGGGCTTCATAGTGGCTTAATACTGGGCGAATTCCATGTTTCTTTGTCCAGCCTGCCTAACACATCTTCTTCCTTTGGCTTTGTCCGGCGCGTTTCTGTTCGACCGTTTGTCGGCGCTCCCTTCTGTAGCTTCCGTGGCCCATGTGTCTTTAAGTCCTCTACCATGGTTTTTCTGTGCCTCACTTCAGGCCCTCCCCACCTACCACTGTGCATGCGAGCTCCTTGCTGCCGCTGCGTGCTCGCCCGCTGAGCCATTCAGCAGCAGCGGCAGCAGCTACATGTAAGAGTCCCCAGGAGTATGGTGAAAACCGAATTGAAGGCATGCGAGCATGCACATTCCGTGCATTAAATGACATGTGTTTTCCGTACCTGTGTAGCCCTTAGGGGCAACTACTTACAACTCGGAAAGTTGTAGCTGCGTTTTTGTCCTTTGTGCCCTCGCACTCTTAATGAGCAGCGAGCACCATAGCAGTCTGTTTGCAGTAGCTGACCAGTTTGTATGAATAGACATAAACTTCAGCGATTCAAAAACATTCAAAAAACCAGCCTCAATGTTCTACTGCGAATTACGTATTCACAGTCTTTCATCTGCTAGTCAACGCGTAGCATGCGTTTCTCGGCTCACGGTATGTCAGACAAGCAAGCAGCTCCTGCTGCGAAGGAAGCGACGGGTTAGAAGGGGATACAAGCAGCGCCAGAAGTGGGGCGGACACGGACAGAAAAGGACAAAGAGCGAGGAAGCATTTACAACAGGGTGACACACAGGAGAGAGCTGAGAGACTAGAGGCGTAGACAACATACAAAGATCGCCTCAAGAATATACAAGGAGAACATACACCCGTGGAGCAAATGGATCTGGGAATACAAATCGCGCAGACTCGGACAGCAAGAACCACATAAAGTGTGAACCACGGGAACTGGCATATAAAGAAAAGCCGACCAGACAGCTACACACGGGGCGGTACGCTCTAGGCGTCTTGAAAAAAAAAACCCGTTGAGCCCCAGCGAGGGCATCGACGCAGCCGAAACAAGCTAGAGACACGAGAGACCGAAAATGAGGAAATGGTGCGCGGTTCAGATGAAGCGAGGCACAAATAAAAGACACTCTGGACAACGGCTCCAACGGATGCGTGTACAGTTACTTAAACGAAACAACCAGTCACTGAAGACATCCTGTCTCCCGGCGTGAGGCGCATTTACACCTCAAATGCTGCAATCATATAAAACAAATACTTCCCATGGCACCGGAGGGCCGGATAAACTCTGCCGGCCTCTCGTAACCTTCATAATAGCAGCAGCAGCATCAGCTCTTGCTGCGGTTATGAAGGCCCGGGAAACATCATTTCTTGCATGCATGGAGTTTACGGACTCACATGTCATGCTGCTGCTGCCTGCCTGCCTGCCTAGGCACTGCCACAACAGCAGCTGCAGCAGAAGCTGCTGCCGCAGTGAGCCCCCACTGCCTCCAATTTTAAACGTTGCAAGAGCATAAACGCATATGTGGCATCAACTGCAGCTGTAACAACAAGGGATTCGTGGATGGGTTGAAGCAGCTTCGCGTGAGGGTGCAGATCCGAAACTGCAACAACTGCAGCTTCAAAAGCTGATGCAGCAGCAGCTTCGCGCTTCCTTTATCAAAATATTCCCCATGTGCTCCTTTCTAAATGGCCAGAAGCTGGAGGCACTCACTGTCAACACAGGAACGGCAGCGGCCGTTCCCACTGCTCGTGCTGCATCTACTTGCAGCTACTGGCAGTATCTGCTGCAGTCTCTGTATATGCGGCGATGATTTGGATTGGCTTGTTGCGAGTGAGGCTGCTGTTTGCTGCAGCGTCAGGAGGAAGAGATATTATGTCTCCGATGGCCACAGCCGCCGTGTGAACCCGCAGCGCTGCCAGGCAGGATGCAGCAGCTTCAGCAGGGACTGCAGCGAGCAGTCCCCCGCTAGTTTGTGGGTCGAAAAGCAGCGGGAAGACGATTGAAGAGTCTGAACAAGGACTGCAACAACAGCAACTGCGGCTGCTTTCCCTTTCGTTCATGTTACTGTAGCTCCATAAGCTGCTCTGCACTGCCGTCTCCTCTCTGGCCGGACCCTCCAGCTTGTCCGCCTCCGCAGGCAAAGAAGCACGGCAGCAGCAGGGCCCCCGCAGCTGCTGTTGAAGCGCTTGCAGCAGCTCGCGTTCGTCACCCAGCTTCTCATTCGACGGAGAAAGGCCCCTGACATTACCGAGGTGGAGAGAGCCCAAAGGTGCTTCGGCCTCCACTTCATCTTCAGACAAGACAGACAGACGGCGTGCTCCCGTTGCCGCGTTCTCCACAAAAAGAGATGCAGCAACCCCCTTTCGGGTGAGCTCAGCGGCCCCAGGCAACAGCGGGATCCTGCCGAGCCAAACACGGGCTCCCACCAGGTTGGCGCCGCCTTCTGCTTCTGCTGATCCATCACCGCGGTTCACTTTTGCAAGTGCCCTGTTCGACGTGTCGACCACTTCCAGCAAATGGCCTAGCAAGCCAAAACCTGCCAAAAACAACGGCAACAAAACCTTACGGGCCATTGGGCCAGCCGAAATCTCAAGACCAGGTCGACTTTGTGGCTTCTAAGCTACAGCCTCCCCTTGCAGCCTGCAAGGGCCGAAAAAAGCTCTGCTGTTCTGGTTTGCCAGGTGCGCCGCAACAGAAATAACAGGAACTCACCAGTTATGTCGGTGCATGCCGTCGCCCCGTGCTGAACTAGCGCATGCATAGCCGCCCTATTCGTCTGCTGCATTTGTTGCAGCGCTGCCTCCACCCAACTGCAGCATTAACATCCACAGTAACAAGCGGCCATAAAGACACCACACCAAACGCTAAACTAGCAGCATTAGCCAGCAGAATAAGCCACAGATGCGAAAGGGCAGCGCCTCACCCTCCTTTTGCTCGGCTCTTTGCATGGGCCGCAAATATGACTCCGGTCCCAATGCCCTTCGTCAGCAGTAGCACACAGCCCTCGGTAACGCCAGTGCTACCCTTCCGTAGAAGGAAGCCAGGAGCCAAGGGTTTGCCTGGTGCCACCAATGCCTGCTGCTGCTGCCGCCGTTTCTCGTCATTGCCTCCTTTGCTCGAGTTCGTCTTTGCTGATGATGCGCCAGGCGGGGAAGGATAGAATATCCGCCCAGTGACGCAAAAGCCTGCAGCTGAAGGGCCATCGCCCGCTGCAGAATGACCGCCGCTGAGCTCGCAGCCCTCAGAAGAGAAGACACTGCTTGCCCCGCATAAAAACTGCAGCAAATTGTTTGCTTGCTGCAACAGCAAAAAGAGAAAAAGCAGCCCACACTAATGCCCTGAAAACTGTCGCACCAAAAAAGCTGCTACCGGCCAGGCCACGCATGTACCGATAGCAAAGGCGGCAGGGCCTCAAACAACGAGCAGCAACAATAGCCGGGATCCCCTCCAAACACTGGCAACGGCACCAAAAGGGTATCAGCACGGCAAGAGCAGTACAACAGCGACGCACCAGCTCAGGAGGTGCTTTTTGCATGAGAGTGACGGCTAGGGCCGTTAAAGGCTCCGCGCCACATGCATATAGATCGGAGAGGGCGTGGGCTGCTGCTACGCGGCCCATAGTGTACAGGTCGCCTGTAAACAATCTGAAACAAAGCAAGAAGGACAAAAAAAAAAAAGTGTGGACACCAATGTCCGTAGTTCTCGGCCTCTCGAAATAAGGGACACGGACCGACGCGCATACGGGAAAGCTGAGTCCAGGGTTGTAAGGTAGACAGAAGCGCGCGCTTAACAGGCACGTGCCAATAACTTCATACCAAGAAACAAGCAATATTCAACTCATGCAGCAGAGACGGAGACGGACAAATACAACAAAGCGAACGAGAGATATGCAGCAGCGAGCATAAAGCGTCAAGCTGGCAGATGCGAAGACGAGAGAAGGGGAGGCCGGACACCATATTCACGCCCAAAGCAAGCTTAACTTAAAAGTATACAAAATGTAATATTGTACGCTGTTATTACCTAAAGAAATCCACGCTCTGGGCAAGGAGGGACACAGGGGGCGCCGTCACTCCAGCTGTCTCCAGGAGGCCATCTAAAGGGACTGGGGAAAACAAACAGCAGTCATCGGGGGTCTTCAGACCGCATATAACCTCCGGGCGGGCGAAGAGGGGCTTCTCTTGATCCCAGTCTTGTTGATCGTCAGCCCCCGGCTGCTGCTGCAGCTGCTGCAGCTGAGCCTCTCGGTCGTGTAGTTGCTGAACCTGGAAATTGTGGTGGCGCAGCTGTTGCAAAGCCGCAGAGACGACGCGTTGCGGGATTTTGCTTGAGCAACCAGCGCACCGAGAAGCCCCCGTGCAGCCCTTGGCCCGCGCCCCTGCTGCCTTGGAGAGAAGAGTCGCGAATATCGACATGCAGGGATGCGGCAGATCCTGAATTGCAAAAAAATAGCGGAAAAGGCACATGGTAAGAGGGAAAATCTACAGAATACGAGAGACAGAGCACACACACAACACGCAGACACAAGAAATCCAGATGCGACAGTGCACAAGGCAGCTGGCAGTAACCACTTGTGAGGTACAGACGCCAACGAAACAAGTAACGCAACAATCAAGACAGTGCACACAATGCAGAGGCAAAAAAACGGACGGAGAAGAGCCAAGCTGGCACCGCAGCACAACTGGCAGCAAGTGTGCACTGCTGACTTACTCCGATTGCGGGACCCTGAACGGGCGGCTCGGAGGCGATCGCTGCGGACACCCAAGTACTCAGTGCCTCAGCACCGAATGCAGCAGCAGCCCCAAGTTCCTTGAGCCCCAAAAACGAAGTAGATCGTTGAGGCCCAGGAGGGGCGCTGGGGGATGCAGTAGGCCCGGGAAAGTCGCGGTGGCTGCATAGCCAGTTTGAATCGATTGCTTTCTATAGCAACAACGTCAGCAACAATGCAGGGAGCAGTAACACAAGCAGTGAGCAGAGAGGCACGTACCGCCACAGCAGAACTGCTCACATACATGCAACAACAGTAACAACAGCGAGATTGGCAGCAGTGGCAAGCAGCGTCAGCAGGGCATGGCAGCACAACACTTGCAGCGAAGCACTTGCGAAAGTAACCAAAGCAGTAAGAAGAGCATCAGCAGCGCAGCAGACGCCACAGCAACAGAATGTGCAGCAGCGCACCTTGAGTTTCCAGACCCAGTTGCCATGAAAGACAAAGGCCCCTTTGCATAGAGCGGCTTCGCTTTTGCCAGTCACAAGAAGCGACATGAAAGAGCCCTGGGGCTTCCAAACTTCAAGCGTCTCTCCTCTCAATAATCTCCATATATTGCTTTCGATGACGGGAGCGGCACGCACTAAGAAGACCAACAAGCACGCAACACACCATCCACAAGTTGCACACATGTATGCTCGCAAAGCAGCAGACACCCAAAGATAATGCCCCATCCCATCTTCCATGAAGCTTCCTTGGCGTGGTCTTGTATGTACAAAAACTAAAGGGTGTGCAGGTATGCATCAAATGCAAATGCACACAGAAGCGAATGGCACATCCACGCCCGACAAGGCGCAGCGTCTAAACAACTTGCGTCTAAACAACTTCTATTCAACAGTGCCAGCGTTAGCGGAAAGGGCAACTGCAGCAAAATGGGCCAGAGCAGAAGCTGCAGCCGTACGCACCTGCATACACCCCAGCCTTCGGGCGAATGTGGCCCACGATGCTAGCTGTGTGGCCTACAGCAGCAAAGCAGCAGCACTGGAAACACAAGTACGAAGTTGTCAAAAGTACCAAATTGCCAGTACGGGGGACCGTCGCACAGATCAGCAGCTGCAGAAAAACCTGCGCCGCACTGTACCTGCAGCGAATATGCTTGGGTAATCAACACATTGGAGTGTCGGCAAGACTCGCAAGAATCCATTTTCATCTAACGGCAACCGAGTTGACCTGTATAGCAGCACCGCAAGCAGCAGCTGAGGCACGCAGCGTCTGGCATGGACAATTCCGTCGCCTTAGGCACTCCTTGCTCGTGGGACCCGTGCACGCACTTGCAAACTGCACTACAGTACTGCGTTTCTACGCCCAAAGCTTTCTCTAAGCTCACTGAATCCAGTCCTGCGGTTTTGTGCTGGTGCAGCAGAAGGAAAAGTCAAAAAGCTCCACCAGCTGCGTCCCCGATGAGACAGCAAGGACCCGACGTCCATCCGCCATCTCCTCCAGGCGTTCTACGCGGCAGTTGACGTGCACAGTGACGCCCCTAGATGTCAGCAGTTTCCTTAGCGTCGCCTGCAAAGAGAGGAAAGACATGATAGGGAAAGTACGTTAGAGCGAAGAAACCGCAGGAAAGAATACAGGTGAAATGCACATACAGCAAAACCTATACAAAAAGTACAGGAAGCGCAGTCATCATGAGTTCTTGCAGACCCCAGCAGAACCTTTTAAGTCAACACACCACGGAATATTTCTGAAGAAAACAGTGGCTGCTCAGGCAATAGCAGCAGTGGCAAAGTCACGCTAGCAGCAGCAATACCGCAACAGCTGCTTTGTACGTGGCAGAAATCTCTTATGCAGCAGCAGCAAAGCAGATGCTGACTTGAGCCCTCTTCGAGTATCCCGTGAGGATTTCTGGGCCGCTTGTGGCTAAGACAACTTCCACCTTAAGAGGAGAGACAGAACGTTCCCTCTGCTGTTCATCCTTTTGCGAGTAAGAGGAAAATGAATGCTGCTTCTGGCGCTGCTGCTGGTGCTTATCTAGTGTCTGCAGCAGCTGCTGCACAGCATATTGCAGCGCCAGAGCCATCTCGACTCCCACAGCTCCACCGCCAATCACCAGAATGCGGAAGACAGGCCGTGTGTCGGCCATCTTGCTGCTACTAGCACTCGTGCTGCTGTCTCTCCTGGCAGTGTCCTGAGATTCCCCACCAGCAGTGGCTTCTTTGCTGTCTGCAGCCTGCTGCCAGGCCTGCTGCAGCTGCTGCTGTAGCAGCAGCCAACGGGAGACGATGCCTTGAAGCGGTCGTTTAGGGCAAACACAGCAGCAGCAGTACCTGCTGCTGCTACTGCTGCTGCTGCCAGATGCAGGGCAGCCACAAGGAGACAGCTTATGCCCCCGAAGGGAATCATCTCCAGTTGGCGAAGGCATGGGACTTGTCTCTGCTTCTGCGGTGGATGCGTCTCCGTCGATACACGCTGCAGTAGCAAGCCAAAAAATAAAACATTCAGAAAAGTGATCAGTGAGCAGAAGATCTATTGAGAAAAATGGCCGCTCTGACAAGAGGTAGCAGCACCCGCCGCAAAATATCCAGGCTTGATACCGCAGCAAGAACAGCTGCACCACCACCAGCAGCAGGGGTGCCACCGGCCCCCTCATCATTCCTGCATTTGACGGCAACTGCCGAAGCCCATCATTTCACGAGTAGGAATGGCTCTATTGCGGGGAGGCCGCCGCACCCGCAACAGCAGACAGTAGCAACAAAAGCAGCAGCTTGCCTCTGTTTACAAAGGTGTTGCTGCGTGAAAGTAATGGCCTCATGCTGCCCGGAATAAGAGACATCTCGGGCTTGCTTCCCGTGTCGATCGATAGCACATCAAATCTGCAGCAGCAAATACGGGCAACAGCACTGTTCACACGTTCTCATTTTCCGTTCATGCCTGCCTTGAAACGGCTCGCAGTGGGCTTAATGATGCACATAGAAGAAGAAAATATGCATAAGATACAGAGAGCATGCATTTTGGTAATTTTCGGAGTAGCTAATCACAGAGGCCCCGAGAGCCACAGAGGCACAAAAGCCCACCTTAGGGGGGGACGACTGCCGTCAAGCAGCAGCAGCTTTTGCTGCGGCAGCAGCCCCACAGCCCTGGCGGTGATAAGGGAGGCGCCCGCGAAAGAGCACAGAGGAGCCAAGTCAACGGTCAAGTCCGGCAAGTTGAACTCCCCCGTTATGTAGCCTGCAGAAACAAAGCAGCAGCAGCTTACACAGTGGCAGCAGCAGAAACACGCAGCGCGCACGCAGCCCCCAACCACACAGACAGACTCACCAGCAAAGGACGTGCTCAAGAAAAAACGGAAGGCAAGTGAGAACGCAGAGACACACAGAGGCGCCGGCAGCACATAAATGATGTTGACAGAGCGATAGGAGGCAGCACATCACAGAGACGGCACAGGAGACAAAAGGCTGCTGACACACCTAAAAGGGCTCTGCCATAGTGACTACAAACAGAAATATGAGACAAGGAGGTGCCAACACACCTAGAAAGATGGCTCACAATGACTAGTGACGGAAATGACAGACCAAGGACCAAACACATGGATGAAGGTATCTACGACACTTTCATCATGCACACGCATTCGTAACCGCCGTTGCCTCTTTGACACTGCCTAGAAGCCCCACCTAGGTGACATAAACAAGACCGCTCTGGACATCTAGAAGGTTTGAAAGCAACAACGGCACTACCAGGAGCACCAGCAATAGCAGCAAGACTCACCAGGTACCATGGCACTATATAGGACTTCCGTGGTCTCTGTGACGAGCAGTAAAGAGACAGAAGAGACGGGCAGGTTGTTGATGCAGCCGCTGTTGTTGCTGCATTCCTCATCTGCGGCAACAGCAGCGTCCTTGCCGAGTATGGAACGCAGAACAGCGGCTGCTGTTTTGTCTGTGGAGGCGGCACCAGCAGCAGAGCTGCATGGTGTTGTCTTGTCCGCCGTTGTCTCCCGCTGCTTACGTAGGCCCCACAAGCGCAGCACGTCCAAATGCGCTTGGCCCGCCCCTACGAGCACGACCTGTCGCTGCAGTGCACCTGCGCCTCCTCGTCCCATTGTTACTGTTGCTCCTTTCGTTGCTGCGGTTTTTAATGTTCCAGCTGCTACTTTAGCGGTTGATTTCTCCTGTATTTCTACGCCTGCCGCTGCTGCTACCGGCCTTTGTCCTCCTATTGCTGCGGGGGGGGAGCGGATGTCTTCCGGAGAGGCTGTGAAAACTTCCGCAGTACGGACAGCCAAAGGCGGCACAAATATTTGTACAGGACTGTCAGATTAGCAGTCCCCTCTCCGTACTGGCGCCCTTGCTGCGGTATCCCGCTCTCGGCTTCTGCTCCTGCTGCGGTTGCTGTTCCTTTTGCGGTTTCTGCTCCTGCTACGGTAGCTGGAACCGTCGCATAAAATTGCAAGAATAAAATGTCAAAAGGTCTTGGTCTCAAGCTTTGGAGATACACCATTAAAAGTGACTGCATCTCGCTGCTGCGATTGTAGGCTGCTGCTGCAGCAGCCGCAGCGGGAGAGTCTGTCCTGCGTGGCGCCTCCCTAGTCGGCTGCAGAAGCCACAGTCACCTGGCCGCTGCCCAACTAAATCCACCTCTAGTTGCATTTGAGCTTTAACGAGCATAGCAGTTCCAGAATTTCTGTGACGGAGCACATGCACTCCAGTAGCCCATCCCGCACGAGTACTGCTGTTGCGTGCTGCTTGCTGCATGCTACTGCAGTGTTCCTCTCGCTAAAGACAAGAGCCCCAGCCTAGGGCAGAAGATTTGACTCCGAAATCAGGCTTAGACGGGCGAGGAGAGCTGCTCGGGACCACCACAACAACGGTTGCCATTGCTGACCCTCCTGTAGCACCTTCCTCTCGGGGTAGCGGAAGAAGCTGAATCGCGCTGCCGCTCAGTTGCAAGCATCAGCACGAAAAAACGGGCATAGCTAGAGGGGGCCGTCGCTGCTGCAGCATCACCGGGCGGGGACACGGCAGCAGACAGGAGCCAACGGCGCTGCGTCTTGGGTTTGCGCTGTTGGCCACCAGCGTCGACCCAGCGAAGCTGCAACTGCGCCACTGAGAGGCGCAGACGCTGTGTCAGAATCTTTAAAGTGGGAACAGCGGGGGCAGAATTAGTTGCATGAGCAGAAACTGCAGCAGAAGCGGCACGATGGATACGCCACTGCGGCTGACGTGTCTTTGCATCCTTGACTCCAACGGGGAGCGCATCTGCGCTCAGTACCCCACAAGGGCTCCTCCTTCTTTGGGCCCTCCATGCCCTTACAGAGACTTCGACAGCCAACGGAAATTTGAAGGTCTCCTTCACCAGGGTCTCATGAATATCAGGGGCAGAACAGATGGTACGATTCCTTTTGCTGCTGCTGTGGCTTCTGTGGCGAAGGCTTCCGTTGCTGTTCCGCATATGACTGTTGCTGCGCTGGTGCTGCTGCACCAAGGCTGCACCACTCACTCATGCGTGCGGTTTCATGGCGGTGCTTACTGATTCGGCTGCTGCCACACTTGCTGCTGCTGCAATGCTTCTATCCTTGTTCTCATGGCGCCTTTCTTCGTATTGCTATTCTAAGCGCTTTTCCGTGGGCTCCTTTGCCTGGCTTTTTTGGGATCGTTTGGCCTCTGGTTCCCTACTGCCTTTCACACGCAGTGTGGGGCTTCTGAGCCCACTGTTTTTATCGCATGCTTTTCTTCCCTCCTGTACTGCTGCTGCTGCTATGCTGCACAGCTGAGGCGCTACAGGTAGAGGGGGAGGTAGCCGTGGGCCTGGATGTCGGGGACGTGTCAATTTTCGCCGTTTCTCCCGAGTCCTCTGCCAACGAGCTCCTGCTGCTTGAAGTAGTAGAGGCCCTGAGATCTGTCTTGAGCTCTATCTGCAAGTACGTGGCGGACTTATCTTTTGCTGTAGCTAAGTCTGCTGCCCTCGTTGTGTCTTTCGGTTCTGGTGGTGGAACGGGTGGGCGGCTCGCAGCAGCAGTAGCTGTTGCTGTGTGCTAGTCGACATTGCAGCGTCCCCGCTGTAACAGGCATTTTGGCCGTTTGCTGCTGCCGCTGCTGCTGCTGCAGTGGTACGGTGACCCGGCAGGCGCTGCTGGAGAACATGGACTCTGTGTTGTTGGCAATGGATGAGACCGCAGACCAGGGGTACGCAGGGCCGAAAGTTTTGCACCTCTTGTCATTTTGGCCCCCTTATGTGCACTGTGGGATCTAATCGTGTTTCTCATGCTGTCGCTGGCTGCAAACGCCTGCTTGCCTTTTGTTGTCGCCTTGCTGTGCCTGCCATGACACTGTAGTTTATTTGCAGTGTTCGTCTGTTTCCATTGCTGTTTCCTATTTCTGCTTTGCAGCTGTGTGTTCGGTTTGGTCACCACATGTTTGTTTCTCTCTTTGTTTTCTTCAGTTTGTTTACTTGGCTTCGCTTTTCTGTCGCCGATGTTCGTGGACCTGCCAGTGCGCTGCCGTTGCTCTCTGCTCCCGCAGTTTGTGGCTTCATTTGTTTCACCCGTGACTCCGCTGTTCCTTCGGGTTTGTTTGCCGCCGCACGAGCACTGGTCTTTGTAGCTACCGCGTCGTCTTCTGCTGTTGCTTTGCATTTACGCTGCGGAGTCGCGCTCTTACCTGTCACCGACTGCGTTCGCTCTAATTGTGCTTTTGGTTTTCGCCTGTTCGTTTCTTATACTCTCATTGACCGTTGTGGTCCGCAACTGTTTGTCGCACGAGCGGCAAAAACAGCGGCAGGAGCAGTAACAGATGCTGCAGTAGGCTCAGCCTGCCTTAGGTGTGGTTACAACCTAGTTCTGACTTTAGCACTTGTGCAGGTTGTTGCTTGAGACAAACCCTTCAGCGATCTTGGCCCGAATAAACATGCAGGGAGATGGTCAAGGTACTCAAGAAACAACAGCCTCCCTCAACCAAGTATGCTAACACGGCCTTGCGATTGCTCGCCGCCATGCTTATACTGTCCGACTGTTCCGTTGTTTTGGTCTCTTCCCTTTCTTTGGATTTATGCCCGCGTTTTCGTTGGGTTTGCACTCGGGCTTCCCGCATATCCCTGAGATGCTTCGCGTTTCGTGTTCCCCACGTGCCCTTTTAGTGTCGCTAAACTAGTTTCCAAATGTGTACTGCGTATTGATTTTGAGTCATTTCCAGTTGCCTATTTTTCCTGAGTGGCCCAATGTTTGTAGCGGTCGCTGTAAACGTGCGCACTGCCCTCACTCTGCCTGGATGTGTCTCGCATTCTCATTGTGGGACTGTCTCGTAGCATCGTTGCCTGCACAGCCTTCCTATGTACCTGCATCGCCATACCCTTCAGCTTGCTCGGTTCATTTATCCCCCTCTGTCTTTCCGTATCCGCATAGCTGCCATTTCAGCCGTAACACAAGCTTCCACTTGCCTCGGCAAGCCGTGTCAGCGGTACACGTCAAGTAACGGGTCCTCAGCTGTGTGTGTGTGTGTGTAAACATGAAAGTCAGTGTCTTTTCCGCATTCTGCGCAGGCCATAAGCCAAGCAAAAGACAGCATCATAAAAAGTCTCCTAAGCGGGGCTTCTTGAAGCCCCAGCTCACCGAAGCCTCAGCTCACCCCACCTAGGGTGCAAAATAGCTAGCTGGCTAGCTCGCTACCTATGCAGCTAGCTTTCTTGGACGCGTTTACTAGTCCTGCAACCGCCTTGGTAGCTGGCTAGCTAGCCAGTTAGCGATTTAGCTAGACAAATTAGCGCAGCGCCAGCCACAGCGGCGTCGCAGCCCTGGAGTCCATCGTATAGGCGCGGGCGGGCCAGGTTAAGGCATCGGCAAGCATCTGCAGCTGCTGTTGCTGCTCAGAATTTCCTCGCTGCTGCTTCTCGGTCTGTTGCCGCGTGGGCAGCTGTTCCTGTAGGTTCTGCTGGTCAAACTGCTGCATACGCAGCCTTGCCACGCGGTTGTGGGCTTCTGTCTCCGCCGCCTGCAGGGCAGCTTGGCTTTTCCACCTGAAGGCAGGAACGAAAAGAGCCTTCCCCATGCTTTTCAGGATAGTACACAAACTGAACCGCAAAACAAACCGGCGGGTACATGCACTAGACAGGTATCGCCGGGAACCGAGACAATGTGACGACCGCCCCTCTGTATAGCGACTGCTGCATCGGCAATAGCGATGCAAAGGGCAAGAGCTTACCTCTCGATTAGAAGGATAGTTCCCAGTTGGTCGCCAAGCTGCGCTGCAGCGGGGACTGCCGCGGCAGCAGCGGCAGCAGTCCTTTCGTCTGCTGGAGGCTGCGCTAGGATTTGCAATGATATGAAGCCATCCCGCGACCCGACGAATTCTTGCCAGGCTGCGGCAACACGAGCACAAAAGAGCACACAAAATGTAAGTGCCAACAACGTGCAGCAGCAGCAAGAAAGGCACCAGCAGGTCCAGTAGCGGCGAGCACACAGGGGGAACATATGCATTCTCGTGTTACCTTGGACCTGGGGTGGCTTAAATATTTGCACACGGCCCTCGGGTGTTTCTCTACAGCTGCTCTTGTCAGGCGTATAAGCAGCTGCGGGGCAGAGGCGCACTACTGCTGCTGCGCCGGTGAAGCCTTCGTCTGCTGCTGCCGACATTGCATGCGCCTTCCAACCAGCGAACATCCCCACAGCAGCCCCTGCAATGGAGCTGAAGATGGCTTTCAACCTGCCCCTGCTGCTTTCACGGCCAAACCGGCCTCTGGCAGTGCTACTGAACACCCGGTGCTGCTGCTGGAGCATCCTGACAACGGGAGGACGCCCAATGCCTCCATCATGGAAAGCGGTAAAAGAACCGAAGCTGCGACCGCATGCTGCTGCAGCAGCTGCTGATGCAGCTCGTTGCAGCGGCATAGGCAAATGCAGACGCTCCTGCTGCTTCGAGTGCTGCTGCTCCTCCTACGCGCGGTGCTCGTCCAGACTTCCTGGTAGCCGCTGCTGGTTGCCAGTGATGATTTCCGCAGTTGTTCAACTTCGTTTTCACTAGACTCTGCAGTATATGTGCGCAGTGATGCCGCCCTCTGTCAGCTTGTCTGCACGATTCGTCGAGGCCACTCTCTGCGCACTTCGTCGATGCCACGGGAGATCAGTGTGTAGCATCCACTGCTGGTTCGGAGTGTCTCAATATTAGATAAAAACTAAACAAATGAACCAGCAGATTGACAGTGTACGTCATCAGAATTCAATCTGCGGACAACTGCTATCAAGCGAGTTGGCGGTTAGCTGCCTGCAGCACAGCCAAGCCTACAAGGGGACCTCAGTGAAGGGCTTCCAAGGCCCATCGTTTCTTTCTTTGTACGTGGGCTCCCAACGTCGTATCGCTTGTCTTTATCTATTTTATTACCAGGTAGCAATTTTTACACAAGCCTGAAGCGTGCTTACCCTTCACTTCGGGGAATGACGTTCCACAAATAGGGCCTCGAAGTCGCTGGTGCCAGCCGCAGCAACAGTCACGGCAGGCGGCCGCGGCCCACGGGCTGAGGTCCCTAACCAGCAAGAGGCGATGGTGCTGCAGCATTGGCTTCTCCTGTTTCTGCTGCTGTTAGTAGAAACGCCGCAAGGACCGTGGCAATGCGCAGCGAAAGAGCTGACGGTTCGCAGCTACAGTCACAACCGCAGCAGCAGCAACACAAGCAGCTGCACCTGCGGCGAAAGCTGCCGCAGACACCAGATATCATGCGGTTGGTTAACGACGCGGTGCGTGCCGAACTTGAGCTTAGTCCGCCAGCCAGCAGCGGCCGTTGCCGATACAGAGGCTGCTGCAGTAGCTCCTGCAGTCGTGTCTTTGAAGGAGAACTCTTCTCGCTGCAACACCCGTCTGCCAGGTTCATTGCATCAGCAGCCGCGTCTCCGACCAGGCCTTCGCTGTGTAGCTGATGCGTTGCTCGACGCTGCGGATCACGCCGCCAGCAGCACCAGCCACAGCGCCCCCAGCAATGGCACCAGCACTACCAACGGCTGTAATGACTCCAGCAGCGCGTGGGGTCCTCTACCTGAGGGAGCTCTAGAAGTACGGCGGCCGCTGAAGTTTAAGCCCAAGAAGAGGCGAGGGAGGCAGAGAATATCGCGCAGTAAGATCATGCTTCCTACAGTGACAGCAGAAGCAACATGAATGGCAGTGGCGGCAGCAGCCGCAGTAGCAGCAACAACCGCAAGTACAGAAAAAGGCATGATCAGGACCTTCAAAATGCAATCGCTACAGCACGAGAAGGGGAAGCAGAGGGAGAAACATACGCAAAGAAGATGCAAACGAATTTAGCAATATAGAAAGAGCGAGAAGGAAAAACTAAGGTAGAAGTGGAAAGAGAACCCGACAGCGCGTTGTCAAATGGATGTGGAAGGCAGACAGAGAAAAAGAAAGGGAGGGAGACAGATGCATGCAAAAGTGTGCACAAGAAGTGACGAAAGACTAAGACAAGTGGACAATAGAGACACGCAGGAACAGGATCTGGTAGCTGCATAGTGACAGAGGTGAATGGTCATAGAGAGAAGGGAACAGATACAAATGAGAAGCAGCTAGAATCTTGGCTGACCCACTAAGGCCACTTTTTGTGGCTTTGCTTTGCTTCAGGCCTTGCGGATCTGCTTGCCACACAGCACACTACGCTGTCGGGCGCTGCTGCGGTTGCTGCCTCCGCAGCACCTGCAGCGAGAGAACGGAGCGCGGGAGATGCCACCACAAGGGCAGCAGCAGCGGCAATAGCAGCGACGGAGGGCGCTGGGAGCTTTTACGCTTCTTTGCCCTCCTTACCACTGCCGGAAAGAGGTTTTGGCCGGCTGAGAGTAACAGGGGGCACGCTGGCGAGACGGCGCCTGCTGATGCCGCGTACAGACACCACCAGGCCCATGATGGCTCGGGTGGGTTTTGTCTTTGCTGCTGTGTCCGTCTTCTCTCTCGTTGCCGTAGCAGCAGCTAGGGCATCTGCTGCTTGTTGTGCACCTTCCCTGCCAGAGGCGTATTTTCGCTGGTGTGGCAGCGAGTACCCTGGTGCCACGGTCTGGGACAATGCTGTTCTAGCTGCTGCTGCCTCCTCTTCTGCTTATTCTGCTGTCATGCTGCACTTTGCCCTTCGTACTGCTTGTTGAGCTGCTACTGTTTGTGCAGACTTGCGGGGATTGGGAATGTGTGCTTTCATCCAGCCCTAAACGCCGCCTTAAATTCGTGCCCGTTTGTGTGTCCGTTCTTAGCTTGTTCCTTTGCTGTAGGATGCTTGCCATGCGTCGTCTTGCCTGCCTCTCATCGTCATGAGCTTATTTTTCGGGCTCTCGGTGTTTGCCGTGGGATTCACTTTTCTCTGCCTCTGATCTTCGTCATCGTGTGTCATTGTTGCATGCTTGTCTTTGCTTCCTCCATCTACCTCGATGTTTGCTCTCTGTGTTTGCTTTTTGTTGTGCCCTTCAGGTGCGTGAAGCCGTCTTCTCTATGCTCCAGAGCTTAGGAATTTTCGCCTGCCCCAACCTTAGGTAAACTCCCATCATTCTCGTCCCAGACTAATTTCACTACTTTCCTCCTGCTGCAACAGCCCTGTCTTCGGCGCCCACATGCCTGTTTGCTGTAGCCAGCTCCTTTCTTCTTGTGCCCTACGCACTGCGAGCAATGCAGCATTGGCAAGAGCGACTGTTGCCAGTAGCGCCGCTGCTGCTACAGCCTTTTCCTCCGCTCCAGTTTGTGTCTGTGTGTCGCTGTGTCTGTTGGCTATCTTTTAGGGTGTTGGATCTCTTCTGCGGCAGCGGTGCGCTCGCCATTGAGAGCCTTTCTCGGGGGGCGCAGCAAGCTGTTCTTGTTGACAGGTCTCTTGATTGTTGCGAGGTGAGCTGAATGCGAATTCCCAAGTTCAAAATTCTGAATTGGAAACTTCAAGCATGGTCATTATTGGATTTGGATCGTGGGTTCAGCTTTCTTCACAAATATAGATTAACTGCTGCTGTTGCTATCGCCTTCTGCGTTGCTGCGCCTGCTGTGATCGTGTTCTAGGCAGCAGCGGTTAATCTGCGGCATCTAGGATGTACAGACAGCCGCGTACTGCGGCTGTGTGTCTTTGAGCTTCTACTTTCCCCCCGTCGTTTCCTCGGGGGTCCTGACACCAGCAGCGATAGTGGCAGCGGGAGCTCTGACTCAGCATCGTTTGACTTAATATTTATGTGCCCCCCCTACACGGAAGTGATCTATGCAGACCTCCTGAAGGTGAATTCTTCTGACTTTGGCGTTCTTATGCCGCTCTTGCTTTCATGCTGCGTTTTTCCCCGTGCGGGTGCTGTTGGTTTTTGCTGCCTAAATAGCCCTTATTCCGTGGCCACACCTTGTGTCCTATATCCGCTGCAATCGCTCTTGCCCTTTCTGTATGGCCTGCTCTTCTTCTTGCATTTCGTAATTGTAGTTATTGAATTAAGTTGCGATTGGTGTTTCCTAAAATCCCGGTCTGGCAAACTGCTCATCCTGTATCGTCTTTTGTGCCCCCAAAAGCTCCCTCCATACGTGTGTGTTTTCGCATCTTGCTATCTCTATCCCTTCTCTTTGTGAATTTGCGTTCAACGACCTGGCCTCTCACTGCGTGTTTGTTGTCTCTGAAGAAGCTGCTTTTTTCTTGTCTGCTCCGCCCTGGTGGCATCTTGGTTGTGGAGTACCCGAAGGAAATGGGAAGTCTGCCTTTGAAGGTAGGGTCTAGCGGCTCACTCATTCAGCCCCTCCTTGGGGCCTCCAAGCGCTCACCAAGGCTCGGGGAGGAATATGAGATAGTGCACATAGACTGAAGCCCGGAAAGGAGCGTAGACACAACTATATGTGCACACTTGGCGTAACTCCATCGCACTTTCCGTGTCCCCCACTGTATCGTTCTTATAATGGCAGTGTATTTCTTCCTAACGCCGTGAGGTGATGGAAGCGCAACTTTTGTTGGCCGAAGCAACCCCTGTGTGTGCAGATAGGGTTTCCTGGGGCTCCAATGGAGCTCGAGGGCCTAAGGAGCCGTAAATACGGCCGCACATGCATTGCTCTCTATTGGGGAAGGCTACGGGGGCAAGGGCAGGAGAGAGGCCCCCCGCACTTTTCGCCGTATGTGGCTGCACCGGAGGAGTTCGAAGAGCCCCTAGCTCGCAAGCGCAAGCTAAAGAAAGAGGTAGTTGCAGTACCACCAGTAGCAGAGAAAGAAGCCAAAACTGTCATAGGAACCGCGGAAGCACAATCCAGCGGGGGTTAGCTCAAATGAGCGGCTTGTTTCGTGCCTGCCGTAGGCCTGCCACATGCCTCCCGATATAGGCATTACGCAAGTATGCTGGCTGCTACTGTGACTAGCGTCTACCATATATGCAATATACGTTGGATGCCTCTCGTAGAGCATTACACTGCAGTGGCCATTTGGGCTGCGAGAGAGCGGGAACTCGCTAAAATTGTACCTGCCTCTAGTTCTTCTGTCCCATTGGCTTTGTTGGCGGCGCCCATCGTTAGGCGGGCTCTTGATACGCTTTTCTGCATATGAACGGCTGACTGTTCTGCTGTCGTTGTTTTGAATTTCTACTTAGGAGGTGTATATACCTTCATGTCTGCACATGAACAAAACACTGGGTTCCTTTCCTGAGATGCAGATGCAGTGCCAAAGACACCAGAAGGATCAAAGTCTGTAGACACTGGTGCTCCTGTCGTCGAATCTGTGCGGCATATATTGCGGGACGCCACTGCGACGCAGTCGGCCCGAAGCTGCAGCAGAGCAGTGCACTCTGCGGCTTTTCCGTTTCAAAAGTTTCAAACTCTGCTTAACTTTCCTGCGCGCACTTAAATGACCGAGATGTGAGCCCCAACTCCTGTTGCAAAGTCAGGCTTTAAGGGCACTTAAGGCACCAAGCGCTCTAGCCGCCGCTTCTGCACTGCGGGCAGCCACGAGAGCTTCCCCTCTTAACGTGAATGCCACTGGGGGAGGTGACGACTGACTAGAAGCCAGAGATGGGGCCTTAAAGGTTGAGCTTGGGGGTGCCTCCAAGTGGAGCGTCCCTGTCGCATGCACAGGGGCCTGCAGTTCTACTGGGCTGGCAGCGGAGGGAACGTCAGTTGGCGCAGAATCCGAGGGCAGGTAGCAGTAACTCTGCACGCGCCGCCAGCCTGAATCTAAGACCACCCCACCCAGCATCTCCACAATTGCAGCACCAGCTGCGTGGTCCCAAACCATTAACAGAGGTCTCGCTGGGGCCGTTTCGTCGCCGTGTGCCATTGTTTGCTCCAGAGACCCCTTAACAGATGTACTCTCTGCTTCCGCCTTTGTTAGAGCTTGGAACTCCGCTTGCTCCAGCGATGCACGATGAGTATTGCACGGGCTGCTAGACTGTTTCCCAACACCGCTCGGGGCACTATTGAGAGCATCACTTGCGTGGTGAGTAGGTAGCAGCAAAAATGCATCAGCGTGGCCTAATGCAACTGCGAGGTACTTAACGATGTGCCCAAACCTCAGGGCGAGAAACTGCTGCCCTGAAAACGGGGTGTTCCAAAGAGGACCTTCTCTGGAGGTCCCCAGTGTGGTAGCCTCCGTTTGTGGAGCCAAGTTCAAATTAGGGGAGCCCAGTTTGGGGGTTAGACCAATAGGAGATCGCGAGCCTTTGCTGTGCGGCGAAGTGGAACGCACCTGCAAAGGCCCAGGAGTGTCTGCAGAAGTTGGCTGGTCTTGCCTTAAGAATGACCCAGCCGAGGGGCCGCCTGAAGGCTCAGACAGAGCAGACAGATGTTGCTGTAGCAGTGGGTGCGTCTGCCGATAGTTTGGTGTAGAAGCAGTCCACCGAAAGGGGTTGGTGTAGGCACTTGCCGCTGCTGCCGGTGTGCCTCCTGTGCTTCTCGAGTCCTTTACTGAGCTAGGAGGCACCTCTCTGGCATGGCGAGGGTCCTTACACCACGGCCACTCTGTTATATTGTCATCCCGTACTAGATGAAACGCACCCGCCTCAGGCTGTTGCTGCTGCTGTTTCAGCTGGCTTAGGTGCAGGAATGCTCCGTTTCGCACATCTCTTACAGTAAGCCTTGCGGGGAGTCCCTCTGCCTTTGTCAGTACACAACCCCGCAGATGTTCCGAGCAGAGAACTGCTTGGGAAACCTTCTTGCTAGGATCCCCGCAGCCGTCAGTGCCCAAGGACAACTTCGGGGGGACCCGCTCAACGGTGCTCAGGGAGTCACCAGGGCTCTGGTACTCAGCAAGAGCCCCAGCAGTAGCATCAGCAGCTCCAAGACCCGCATCGCTGAGCTCTGCAGGCCCCGTATTGCCTTTTCCCGGGCGGTGAAGGGGGCCTCTCGAGGCATGCGGTGTGCAAAAAGGTAAAAGGCCATTGCTTCCGCTGCAGTTCCACAGATCGTACGACGGGCAACAAATGGAAGCTAACACTACTTCAGGCTGCTGCAGCTGTTGCTGTTGCTCTTGTTCTGTGTTATGCTTCTCGGATCGTCTGGGCGTACCCTGTGTTCCCTGTGCGGAAGGTTCGTGCTGCTGGTGCTGCTGCTGCTGCAGCTGCTCACGGCGCACCAGTAGGGCCACAGCAGTTGAGAAGCAGAAGCCGCTCTGTTCCGCAAAGAAACCTCGAGTCCCATCTATTGGGTCAACCAGCCAACAGCGCAATCCCTGGGAGCTTGTAGTGCCTCCTATTGCTGCAGGGAGTACTTGTGAGGACGCTCTCGCGGACGGTGAGGCATCTCCTGCTTCCCGCGCTACATACGCCTCTGGGCGTCGCAGCAGTCGATGTAATCCCCTAAGAAAGAGAACTGTAAAGGGCCCTGGAAGTCCCTCGCAGCCATTTGTATCTGTAGTATCCTCATGGCGTCTATTCACCCCTGGCCCAGCAATTCCTGCTGCAGCTGCTGTAGTCGATGCATTTGCTGCTGCTTCGGAGCGCTCCCTAAGTCCGTTCTCCAGCAAAGATATTAAGTGCTGGGGAGCGCCTTCTGAGAGGAGCCAAACCACCTCTCGCAGGAGATGAAAAGGGCTCTCCTTCGCGTCAAGGACCTTAGTCTCAATGGGAACACCTCGGGGCCCCACATCGGACGTATGTGCGGCAGAGGGCCCCGCCAATAAAGCCTCATCTACCGTGTGTGATAAAGGCTTCTCTGCGATTCCCAACTCCCTAAATAGCTGCTGTGCGGCTCCTGCTGCTGCCTCCCTGAAGCGACGGTCCCCTTCCTCGCTCTGGGCCTCCACAACACCTGCAAAGTCGTCACGATAGGGTCCTCTGCGAGGAAGTAAGGAAGAGAAAAGGTCAGCTGTTTCTTCTGCTATAAATATGTCTCCAGGAAAACGGTTGCTGAGTACCCCCAATATCACCACCTGGGCCACTATGTCTGCTGCCGCCACACAGGAACCGTCCTTCTTCTTGTAGAGGTGCAAAGAAGGCGCTACAGGGGAACCGCCAGCCACCGGTCCCTGTTCCTGCAGCTGCTGTCGCTGCTGCTGCTGCTGAGATTGCAGTAAATCTTGCATGCGCAGGTGCAGGCCCAAGACCTGCGTCAGCAGTGCATGTAGAAACGGCTCCTCCTCAGCACACGGTGAAGGTGGGCCAGATTCTCGAGAGTTCTGCACGTCTCCTTCCTCAGCCACATTGCCAGAACCACGCAGACGGACCGCTGACGGTGAGACAGTGATGGGCAGGGAGGTGCTGTGGAAAGCCCCGACACTTCTGGTACGTCGAGGTTCTATTTGCCCCGAGGCTCTTTCGGGCCTTGTCCAGTACTCCCCAGCGGTGGCAGCCGCGTGTCGTCGTCGCTCAGCTCCCAAAAATCCTAGTGAGGACTTACTACTTTCTCCTGTCCCTATTACCCTGGGGCTGGCATATCTGAAGGGGGTCACCTCGAGCGGCAGTATTAGCAGGAAGAATACACAAGTAAGCAGCGCACGCGGCCCTCCAAGGAGCTGCTTCAGTCCCGCACGCGCAGCGTAGGGCCGCTGCATCAGCTACTTATCAAAAGTTACCAGAGAATGTCCTAAAGATATGGCGAAGAAGCGTGAGAGGTAGTCAGGAGGGCGCCTCTTGAGGGGCCCATCCTGATCATGAAGGGCAAGCGTTGCTCGTCTGTTTGTAGCTGCTTCACAAACAAAAACGACCAGATGAAGTCAGCAGCCATGCACTCGCTTGGAAGAAAGGGGAGCAGAATCAAACCCAGCAGGAGACACGCTCACGGCACGCGGTGTTCGGCGCAACCCATTTGAGCGCATCATCTGAAACTGCAGCATTGGCAACGTCCCCAACATAGAAGGAAATATTGTTTGCTCCTAGTCCTAACTACAACTAACTAACTACAACGGAGCCTCTCTACAGCTCAATGAAGCGGTGTCGCTGCTCGTGTCTGGCACACCAAGGCACTCACTCCATATGAGTTCATACAAGAATGCCCAGATCTTTGGCCTGCGCATGTCCCTGCAATCGGCCGGAGCATTACAGATATAGGTCCGAAGCTCAGATGTTTTATACCCCGATATACGACCCAGAGCATTCAAAAAGAGAATTATCCGAAACCGCGACCTGTTCGTGATAGTCGCACAGCATTCTTGAGGAAGCCCTGGCAAACATCAAGCGCGGGGAATGAATAAGAACTAAATAACCGCCTCATCAACGTACTAGATCGACAAAATAGTTTCCAATTTCCTTCATTAGCATACTCCATAACTTATGATAGGCAGCAGGCCCCTTTTGTTGAGCGTTAGTAGTCCAACGGTTAGGATACCTGCCTTCCAAGCAGGCGACCCGGGTTCGACTCCCGGCTGACGCATGATATCTATCGTTTTTAAAAAAAAAGAATTTCTTGTCTCCCACTGGCACAATATCCATGTACTGCCTTGTAAGAGCCCTACAGTTTGCCAGCATGTGAGCAGGTAAAGGTATGGAATAACTTAACTCTTTTGAACAGGTAGAGCAGACTAAAGACAAGAAGAGGATGCAAAAACCACCATGGGTCCAAGTGCTCCAGAAATGCGTCAGCCGGGAGTCGAACCCGGGTCGCCTGCTTGGAAGGCAGGTATCCTAACCGTTGGACTACTAACGCGGCGGGCAATAGTCCACACCAGAGTGCGCCTTTCATTTGTTTGACCACCGCCCACCCATCCTATGCCATACGAGAAAAATGCTCCACATAAGATGCTGATCATGACAAGTATTATTTTTTGCGGATACTACAGAAATGGAAGCGCTTCTCGTGGTGCGTTACTCACACGGAAATCTTGGCACATTAAACCAAAACCTCTGCAGAATGCCCTGAGTTTCTCTTGAAATTATATGTGTCGAGAACCAAAGAATGAGAAGGTGTCATCACCTCTGGCAGCGGCTGTTAAAAGTTGGCTGTTTCCTCCCTGCCGTCCACCCGCAGCTTTGGCCCGTTCACAACGATTACTCGCTTTGCTTGCTTTCTTTCAAATTGAACTTAGTTTCCGCGCCGTGGGGATGCGGCAAAGCATGGTATCAGCTCACCAAGGAGGCTGAAGGATGCTGGAAAGTGGCTACTGTGCATTTGTGCTGCAAATAAGTTTGAAGAGTCGAACTCCCACGGTGCAGCAGCCTATTTTACGTGGGGAAAAAAGGCTATATGCTGACCGTTCGATGCTTGGTTAATACGAGAATTACAAAATGTGTCTGAATCCACGTTTCTGAGGGGCTGAGTTGAGGGAATGTCTTCAAGGGAGTGCTTCGGTGCACTGGGAAAATGTAGAGAAAGGCAGAGCGGACCTGAATGACTACACACGGATTAAGCGTCATAGGTTTAAGCACGTCTGCACTTCAACATGGTCAGCGCGTATCCCCCGAACGCCCGCTAGTGAGTAGAAAGGTGACCGCCAAGTGGACTCGGCTAACCTCGCGAAAGTGGCTCCTGAAGTGAAGTTGTGACAGGTAGATAGTGGACCAAATAATAACAATGCATGCCACTACTCACATAATTCGTCTAATTAAGAGGTTGAATGCTAAGAGTCAGTACCATTAGTCCGACTAGACAATGGCAGTAAGGCGGCAAGACATTTTATGTGAAAACATGAGGCCTTTTATTCAATAATGTGGGAGTATGCTGGGACTAATGATCTAGATCTAATATGTATGGTAAGCTGCTGCTCATCACTTCAGGCTTTTACGCTTTCATTTTGTGCAAACGTGAAGAAATTTTCGACGGCTGAACGTATGAATCTACAGAGATGATGGAGAGGCTGTCTGAACTCGCGGGAGTCCACTGGCATTTTTTCTTCAAACTGGAAACTATGGACACACGGGGCCCAAGGCGAAATCCCTCTTTCGATATGTTCAAGTACCTCATGCGCAAAAGAAGTCAAGGACAATTCTTGAATTATTGCGTTCTGGAGTGAACTAAGGCTACGACATAGTGTTATGTGCTTTGCGCCAACGTAACATCTGCCATTTTTGCTTAAGGATCAAGTCCGCCTATGGGCTTTACACTCTAAGTAAACGTTGAATGCGAATAGCAGGATGCCGAGAGCCAGCAACAATAAAAACACACACCCAGTAGGGACAGAATTGGAGCGTGCCAATTGTAATCTCTATCGAAAATTAAACATTTTCGAGGAGCTGCTGCGAAGGGTTTTGCATCGTTGGTTTCATTCTTGTTGCAACAGTGTACACCGGGCCGCGGTAGTATTCATTTTCACAAAGCAAACGCTCACGTGTCTGGTGTGTCTCACTAAATCGAGGGGAGAAAAGTGTTGCAGATAAAACAGTTTCGGCAACTAACATAAGAACTCTCTTTAATGGTGGGTTTCTTTAGATATGTGCCATCGGAAGATCCGCAGAGTGAAAGGGAAAATGGCAATGATGCATTTTCGGCTCACATGCCCATTATTTACAGTTTCTAAGCACCATTTGCTAGGTGAGGCTCTTGAAATAACTGTCCGAAATTCTCTGAGAAATGTAGTTTCCAGTTTAGGCCTTTTTTTTCGCAGGACGAGTAGCGCGAGGAGGCTATAGAGTTAATATTCCACGGACTAGCTGTGCGCAGGAATAATTAAAATATCACTTCTAAACTTGCAGTGGCTGGACTAAATTGAAATGGCCGTCTATATGAGGAAGACCTGCCACAAAGGCAAACAAGCGCCTTATGCGAGACCTCGCAAGGCTTCTTTCCCGTAGAAGAGTGTTTTGGCAGCTGTCTGTCCACCGGTAGCAGTCTAGTCGCATACATTGCGTAAATGCTCTTTAATAGTGCACCTTCAGTGCCTCTACACACGAGATAGGATGCCGTTAATCTCTGGGGGCAAGACAAGATTGTCGGTTCTTCTCTCTTTCATACCTCATCAAAGGCTGCTAGCCCTTTGCTTCTCTCCAGTGGCGCGAGCCTAATTATCATTGCTCAAGCAACGGCTAATTATCCGCGCTACGGCAAGTGCAGTTTAGGACTGCCGTGCCCATTAAATAGCGGTTATAGCCAGGGTTGAATACCATAGCGTATTTAAGAAGAGCTATCTCTTCGTGTGACAAATACGGCAATTCTTTGACCTATGCATTGCGCACTAACATCTGCATTTCCGTTACTCGTCTCTTGCTGCCTCGTTTTACCAGCATATGAAAATAGCGGCTTATCAGAGATACTTTTTAGTAGCTGATTTTGTCGTAAGTACCTCACGTACCTCACGGACGTGTACGTCATCCAAATGTACTATTGGGCACCTTACTTGCTTGCTCAAGCATACAGTAAAAGCTGGGACCACAAAGTGTTCAGTTTCATCCTGTTCTTTCACGTCTTAAATAAAATCCATATGTGCACGTATAGAGGCATAGCTGCAAGTACGCTTCGCCGTCTGCTCCCTCTGCTTGGTATTACCGTCAGTGCATGCTCTACAAAACACCAATACCATAAATGCCATTGGCCAGTAACTATTGAATATAGTTCACTATTTAAACTCCCAGTATTTATATTGCTTCAAACGGAACTGCGACCAGCTTGGTGTGCTTGGGAGCTGGACAAACCTTGTCGTACGATGTGCTGTCGCAAAACGTGGGCCTTCAGGCACACTGTCCTGTTAACATGTAGGGCGGTAGTTTCGCGCTATGATGCCATCGTGTGATGGCTTCTTTTTCACAATTGGGTGCTAGGCTGCTTGTATTGCCCGTGTGAGCAGCGGATTTCCTTGGGTGCTTTAGCGGGCTAGGACCAGCTTCGCACTCAGAGGACTGCTGACTGTCTGGGTGCACAAAAATCCATTAGCAGCGAGCAGCCGAATTAGATTATAAGGCGTTGCGTTTGTTGTGTTCCCAGTCTTGTTTTTCCAAGTAGATATTTTGTTCCTCTCAGTGTGCGTTGGGCACGTCCGGGACACTGCCAGCCCCAAACCCTGGCCAAGCTGCGGAACGTCCAATGCTCAGGATGCTACAAGACCGGGGCTTCCAAAAGTAGAACAAATTTAATTACGGTTGATCTCCACAACACTACATATTGCAACGTTGCAGGCTTTTCCTGGGATGCATTGTAGTGTTGCACACTGCAGGTCCTACTGTCTTAACGGAGGCGATGCGTCCGTCGGGCAGTAGATCTCGTTGGCACATTCCGCTGTGTTTGGAGAGGCCACAGTATACGCAGTATATGTTAGCGGGTGCGAATTATCGTTTAGTACAAACCTCTCCTATTGCTGTGGAACTAAACCGTGCAGCTTGGAGCCAAGACGCCTACGAGGCATTGGCGGCGGGAACATGTAAGAGCTTCCCTGCCACGTCGGAGGAGAAGACTCGCTGGGAAAGAAGAGGACGGAATAGCGACTCTTCGGAGACTTCCTTCTATTCGGGCAGCGAAGTGGAGGACGGTGACAGCGACGGTGAAAACAGGGAGGCTGCAGTTCTCCATATGACTCCCGAGGGCATAACGCAAGAGGAGGACGGCCTGGAGGAAGATTTCGTGGCTTCATGCGCAGCGAAGCAACAGGGAGAGCAGTGGGAAGCTGAAGTTCGTATACCTGTGCCTCTC